CTCCCCAGTCCTATCAAGAGGCCTATAACATGGCCTGGGACTATGCTGACGCTGAAGCCCAGGTGTCATCCAAGAGGGAAGCCGAGCAGGGCCACTCAAAGGGAAAAGTTTCCTTGAAAAAGGAAATTACATTGCCCGGTAAGATAAAAGCAGAAGTCATGGAGGTAAAACCGGTCAAAACAGAGAAGAAACTGACCGGCGAGAAACAATGGACGGAGAAGTATTGCTCCTTTCACAAAACTGATTCCCATAACACTGCAGAGTGTAACAGTGTGAAGGGGGTAATAAAGCAGATGATTGAGGCCGGTGAGATTGATCCTGAATATCTGGCCCAGGCTAAGCAAAAGAAGAACCAATGGGTCAGACCAGAAGGACAACCGGCCGAGCAGAATAAAAAGAAGAAAACCGCCGGTAAAGAGCATTTACAGGTCAACTACGGTGGACCGGAAGGGGGAGATTCTGCTTCCCAAAGGAAGAAGTGGGGGCGAGAACTCTACGTGGGGATGGTAGCCCTCAATCCTCGGTCAAAACAAGCAAGACGGGAACCGATCACTTTTACTGACCGGGACCTCCCCCCCACCGGAGAAGATCACAATGACCCCCTGGTTATAACTATGGACATGGGTGGAGTCGATGTCTCCCGGGTACTCGTTGACACGGGAAGTAGTGTCAACGTTTTGTACTTGGATGCATTTGAAAAGCTCAAGCTGTGTCGGACACGGCTTGAGCCCTTAAAGACTCCCCTGTCCGGGTTCACCGGGGACTCTGTTGAAGCTGAAGGGTCAATCCTTCTTACTTGTGAGTTAGGCACAGGAGACCAGGTCGTCCAGAAGCAAATGAGGCTTTTAAGGGTATTTATAATAATCCTAAGCACGTCTCTGATTATTCAACCGGTCAGGCAGCTGACCGGCCCACCAGGTGCACTTGAGTAAATCTTCGGGTATTGGCATCTGGTCTCCTCATCCAACCGGTCAAATAACCCGGGCTGAAAAAGACGCGTGCTGTTCGGTGAACCAACCGGGTGGTATCCTTGGGTTATTACCCATCAGTGACCATACATTACTTTATGCATATACTCCCTCCGTCCTAATTCTTTCTTCCCAATTTAACTTTTCCCCATTTTTAATTTTTGGCTTTGACTTTAAATTTTACCCTCCTTAAAAAAGTTTTTTTGAATTTTTTTTACAATCATTCAAAATATAGAGTTAGAAGATAATTAGTGTAAATACATGAGGGTATTAATGTCATTTGTCATCTTTTTTTCTAATGGGAAGGTAATTTTAGGACATGGAAAAAGGGGAAGTGAGAAGAAAGTTTTAGGACAGAATGCACACATTTAGTGTTTATTCAGAATGTAGGACTTAAACTTTTTTATTCCCTAAATAACATTTAATAATGTTTAGTGATGGTGAACATTTATTTGAATACTGACTAATGGATAATGACTAAAATACTACATTGAAAAGTAAAAACATATGATGATTATTTAATTGAGTGATTTTAAACACTTTATTTTTCAAATATTTTTTAACTTCTTCTAATTTTTTTTAACCATTTCTAATTCTTTGCGACTTCTTTTTTAAATTTCTTCTAAAATCTAATTTTATTTTTACAATTCAAACCAATAGAGCCATAGTTGTAACCCATAGTCCATACACCATAGTGGGCTCTTTATTTGATTTGTATAGCCCATATAAACTGTCCAAATCCAAACACGAGTAAATGACCGACCTCTCGTTCCCCTTCCTTCCACTTTGCTAAACCTAGCTGCAGCGCACCCTCTCATTCCCCTCTCCGCCGCAAACCGGCCGACCGGACCACCGTAGGAAGCTTCACACCCCCGGCGGCAATGGTACATATCAACACACTCTTTTCACTGTGATCCGAATCCCGAAATCCATTTCTGATCTCTTTGATTCTTCTTCATTTGCAGACTTTCAAGCGGAGGAACGGAGGCCGCAATAAGCACGGCCGCGGCCATGTCAAGTTCGTTCGTTGCTCCAACTGTGGAAAGTGCTGCCCTAAGGTCTCGTTAACCTCGTTGATTTTATGCAAATTTAGCTGAATTGATTGCCGCTACTGTTCGCTTGTGTCCGCATATCTTCGTGTGTATACTGATCTTTTTCTTAGCTGTATTGCTCTCTTTGTGCGTTTCTTCTGAATTCAATATAATTTTTTTTAATTCTTCCAAAGTAGAGCATTCTTTGGCTTTTTGGGTGTATTTTGGCTTTATTACAGTTTCAGATATTTAATTTCCATAGTTTTGTAGATCAGAGTGATTGTATTGATGCAGGTGTTTGTTTGCTGTTAATCATGAATCCTATGTACATGTTGAGTGCAATATTCTTTTCAAACTGTAGAGGTGTTATTGCAGCATATTAAGACCGGAAAAGTTTTTCATTGATTTATTGGTCAATTTATGTGATTTTAACTTGGTACTTGTTCAAGATTATTTGTGTCTAATGGGATTTATTATTGGGGTGGTTTCAGTTTCAGTTAATTATCACCACCTTTTGTGTTGAGGATTAACTTCACTTGTAAGTTATAACCTTCAGGATAAAGCCATCAAGAGGTTTCTTGTAAGAAACATTGTGGAACAAGCCGCTGTCAGGGATGTCCAGGAAGCTTGTGCCTTTGATGGTATGTTTATGAACGGAATGCAGTACTCAGTTTTCTGAAACTTTCGAGTGCCTTATTTAACAAGGGTTTGTTTATTTGCACAGCATACACTCTTCCCAAGCTCTATTTGAAGGTGCAGTATTGTGTTTCATGTGCAATTCACTCCAAGGTTGTTAGGGTCCGCTCTCGTGTTGATAGAAGGAAGCGTGAGCCTCCAGTGCGCAACATCAACAGACGCCCAATGGTAATTTCACGTTTTTATCCAAACCTTACATTAATTGATGGAAACATTGTAATTGAAAGTGTACGTTTCATTGATGCATCACCTTTGGCTCGCATCCATTTATCTTTTTCTGAAATTTACTCTCATATGCATTCTTTTCTACCTGACTAACAGTTTATAATACCTGGGTCTTGAGACGTAAATGACTTGTTTGCATTTTATCTTTAGTTTTCTCCCAAGAGTTGGTTTGTTTGTAGTAACATTACCAGTATGACATGTGAGACTTCATAACTTTTGACTAAAACCTCATGTCTATCAATGTAAACCAGAACACTTTTAGAATAAGACATACTCTAATCCATGTCATTTTCCTTCCTCTCCATTTATATCTTCCCACTTTCCGTTTTGAATATGTCCTGAATAAAATTTCCCATTTTATTTTAAGGAAAGAGTTGTTGGATCACACCACCATGAATTTCAACAAGACACGTTCACCTCTCTTAAACTTTGCGTAAAACGTAAATGGGTAGATTAAATAGGAATGGAAGTAATATGTTAATGGATTCTTGTACAGAGCAGAATGCAACTTACTTCCCATAACTGTCATTCAAATGGGGCACACGAGTTTTTGATTAACTTGTAGTCCAGAGAAAGTCAGAACTAGGAAAAAAAGCAAAGTTTTAAAAAAAGATCAAGGTATTCACATCATAAAACTTGATATTATTTTGGTACTTATTAACAAAAGAAATTTGAGAAGGTAGATTTTTGAACCTCATGGTTGAACTTCTTTGACTTTGCATGAAGAGTGGCATGTAAGATTAAAATCTTGAAGTAAAATATAGGGTGCAAAATTATGGTCACCTAATTCCGAGATGGAAACCTAAGTATGTAATATTTGTGAAAAATACCAAATTTTCTAAGTATATATATATCAAGTAGAATGTCATCACTTCAACATTTCACTTCTGTTGATTAAGAAAAATACCAAATTTTCCAAGTGTGTGTGTATATATATATATATATATATACACACACACACACATCAAGTACAATGCCAGAAACTTCAAATACCACTTCTCTGTCAACCACATTTTTTCTAGTGTTTTTGTTTTCTACACGACGGAGGGAATACAATGGGTGTAGTATCCGTCATATCAACTTATCTTTATCTCCTAGATATACTAATATGGGAGAACCTTTCCATTTCTTAGCGTAAATAGTTTCACAATTGCACTCTATATTTATGGCCCTACTTCGGTAGATGCGCTCTATATTTGACCATTTTCAATATGTTTCAGGACAATGCTGGTCCTAAGCCGCCTGGTCAAGGTGTGCCACGTGCTGCCGGAGCTCCTCCACCTGCTGCTCGTGCCTAAGCTAGCCGCTTCCTTCATGGGTGATATCTTTTTGTTTTCCCTTTGTACCCTTGCCTGTCTTTTTACTCCAATGACTTGTCATGCCAACACCATCTAGCAAAACCTCATGTTTGAAGTTTTCTTTTTTCAAGAAGTTGAAAGGTGAAGGTTATTGTTATTGTCTCATTATTTTATATCAAAAAATTTGCAGTATTTGGTTTCTTGTCCTTCCATTTTTTTCGTTTGGACTTTTTATGCTCCATTAATGGCGATGTTTAAGTATGTACTCCGTATTCTTACATCTTTGTGTACTTGTTTCTTTTGATTCTTTGCGGTTAAATTTGATAAACTTCTTTCTATTGTCCAAATATTGCACTCCCTCCATCTCCACGTAAACTACGTGGGGGGTTTTTAAGAACACTCATAATATTATGAGCCTTCAATAATGTCTTCTTTTGTAGAATTCTTTTATGCGTTTTGAATTATATTTGTATTTATTATTTTTATAGAAATTTTTAAATTAAATTATTTTAAAAAAAGATGAAATTTTGCCTTATCCAAAAACCTATTTCCTCCGTCCTTAAATATACTCCACCATCTTAATTTATAGTGCATGTTTTGGTTTATAATGTTGACTGAAATTACTTTTAAATCATTTTATATGACAAATGAGATATTCAAAAAATAAAAATTATGTATTAAAATACTACATTGAAAGATTTACAAAACTAGTAGTAATAATAGTATTTTATTTTATTAAATTGCTAACAAAAATAGAGAAAGAAAGTAAATAAAGTTTGACTATGTAAATAGTAAACATATACTCCCTCCGTCCCCCTAAGATGTTCTCATTTTGACCTTTGATGGTTTTAAGGAGAGTTGGAAAAAGGAGAAAGTTTAGCATATTACCCTTAATGAAAAATGAGTGGAGTGTATTAAATAAGGTGAGTGAGATGTAATAAATAAAGTAAGTGTGGGTAGTTGTGGTATTTTAATTGTTAGAAAATGAAATGAGAAGATCTATTGTAGACAAAGAAAAAGGGCTATTGAGAAGATCTATAAGGGACGGAGGGAGTACTATAAATTGAGATGGAAGTACTTTTTACCTCTTATATTAGTATGTTCTAAAATTATCTTCCTACTTACATAAAAAAGTCGGGCCATTTCCTTGCATGTGTAGGATTGTGGAATTGTATTCCATTTTATGTAATTTTAAAATGCATTTTCCCAAATAATGCAAACTGGAGTAGCTTACTCCGTTTGCCATAAATTATTTAGTCAAAACGGATTAGCCAACTTCGTTTCCAATGATTAATTAGGGAAACAGAGTAGCCAACTCCGTTCACTTATTTTTTTTAAATCCAATTTTTTCTTTATTTCTCAACTTTGTTCCTATAATTTTTTAAAAAATCAATTTTTTTCCTTAGCCAACTCATTCACGTATTATTTTTTTTTTAAAATCAAATTTTTTCTTTATTTCTCAACTTTGTTCCTATATTTTTTTTTTAAAAAAAACAATTTTTTCCTTTATTTCTTACAATTGAAAAACAAAAAATATAAAAAGCAGCAAATTGTTTACATATAATGAAACAAACAATCTACTAAAAATAAAATGCATAAAGGAAATTATTATTTAGTGACTTTAAATAATGCACCATACACCGAAATTAAAATAAGAAGTAAATCACAACAAATTTATTCATAAAGTACATAAGATTTATTCATAAAAATAAGGTTACAAAACACATGCCATAACTAATTTATTTTGTGAAATTCATTAAACATAAACTTAGACATAATTGAAACCCTTGATATAGCTATTGTCCACTGCGACGTCGCCGTGGTCGGTAGTCCACTAGTCCATATTATTCGGATAGCGAGTTCTTGTAGGTCGACCGGTTTGTGTCCTTGCTCGTGCAGTTGGTCTCACTATCTCGTATCCTGGAGTAGGCCATTCGGCCTCATCGGGAAGCGGCATTAGGATGCCCGAATAAGCATTGATGTAGGACTGGATTGAAAAAATACTAGGAATCAAATGATCCACGGTGACTCTAGACTGATGACATACTGCGTGGGCATGAATGCACGAAATGTGAAATGTTACCCATTCTCCATAGGTACATGTTCGTGCATTAAAGTTTACCGCAAATGTTTCGCGGTGACCATTTTTGGAGGACCCATCCACAACCACAAAGTATATCCCATGCTGTGCATGGTGTTGCACAACACGACAATAAAGCATATTTTCTTCATTGTTCTTGATATTTTTCCACACATTCATAGGAAAATTATACCCAGATTGTTGCCACAAATATCCATTGGTTCGCCTATCAGCAAAAAGCTTGACCAATTTGTCATAGGTGAACCTCACAATGGCAAAGCCGGGTAAACAATGACATCCCTTAAGGATATTATTGATGGGCATATACACAACTTGCTCTCCAATAACGGCTCTGTTTCACTTCTGTGTGAAAGTGTCTATGTTCCGCAATGTTCCGTAATGACACAGCTTGTTGTAGACTTTGGAAAGAAGGATACCTGTTTCCAACCTCAATAATTGGGACGTGGAACGTCAGCCTCAAGGACCTATGTGTTTCGCGTCTATGCATGTCCTGTAATTGTGGCACTGCACGAACGTCCTGACCATTGTCTCCTTCATCTGAAGATATGTCCTCTTCCTCTTCCGAAGATTCTTCATCTTCCGTTGAGGGTGCAATGTACTCAGCATCATCTGGATCGCTATCAACATGTTGAGTGAAATGGGATGAAGAGGGCTGATCCATTGGTTGCTGAAAAAATGGATTACCATCCTCTTCCTCCTCAACATTTTTAAACACTCTGATGAATACTTCAATTGCATCGTATTCATGTGATGCTTTCCGTATAAAATGCCGCCATGTTGGTTCATCGTTGATTGGGAGAGGCCGTGAACCAACATAAACTCCTGATTGATGCCTGGGAAATTTACCGTAGATAGATTCCACACCTTGAACTTCACTATTAAGGATTTGTATCTCACCATTCCAATGAGCTACAAGAAGTATACTATTCTCTTCTGACATTATTTATTTTGGTGAGTAGAATAATGGTGATGGTGTGTTCGAAATGAAGAAGGTGAGTGGTATTTATAAGATGTAGAGTAAGGTTGATTGGGGGTGAGTATTATTTTGGTTACGTGGGTGTGAGTAAATGGGTAGGTGGGAGGTGGTGGATCTTAGTAGTTGGGAGTGAGAAGGTGTTATGTGGAAGTCAGTGTTATTATTCGGAAGGTGAGCATTATTGAAGGATAGGTGGGTGTGAGTAAATGGGTAGGTGCGAGGTGGGTGTGACTATTATTGTAGGGTAGGTGGGAGTGGGAGTGGTTATTATTTCAACATTACACATCGTAAAAAATTAAATTACCAAACCAAATATATCTAAAATTTACTTTAGAATTTAAAATAAAATAATCTAATAGATTTAATACATACTTTTTAATATTTTAAATTTTTATAATACAAAAAGCAAGTGTTAATGTGAATTTAAAAATTTTAAAAACCAAAGTTATAATCCGTTGGGTCGACCCAAATTCGATAATTATGGGTCAGAAACATATAGTTCTAATCTTGAATCCGAATTGACTCAAACCCAAAATAACCCGAACCCAACCTGACCTATTGATTTTCTAGCTCTAAATTTAACCATTGTATTTCATTTTTTTTCATAAATTGATAAATTGTATATGAATGAAGTACAAAATGTTCTTTAAAAATCAACAAAAATCATTGGAAGAACATTAACATAACAAAAACATACTCCCTCTGTCCCTGAATAAACTTCTTTTTTGACTTTTTGAAAAATTAAGGGAGGGATATTTTGGTGTTGACTTTCCAAAAATATCCTTGATGTGATGTGTAAAAGTAAGATGTGATATGTAGATTATTAGTAAAAATGTATGATGTGATAGGTAGGGTATGAAAAAGTAAGGGGTAAAAGAGATTTTTAAAAGGAAAAAGAGAAGTTTATTTGGAAACAAAGAAAAAACAAAAAGGAAAATTTATTTAGGGACGGAGGAGTATAAAAAGAACACCTACACATGTAATTGCAACGTTCCCTAAAAAAAATGCAAAAGGATCAAAATCAATTAATCCACTCAAGAAATTGAAAAGAGAGAAGAGAGCTACTCAAACGGAGACAACTACTCCGTATGAATTAATTCCCGGCCCAAATGGAGTTGGCTACTCCGTCTGATTAAATAATTCGGCCTTTCCGTCTATAGAAATAATTCGGAAAGAAACGGAGTAGGCAACTCCGTGTTGCACTGCAAGGAAAAAAAGTCTGACATACACTGCCAAAAATGATTTATTATTTTCTTACATATACTGGGAGTTTCCTCAAAAAAGTCACTATCCACATACAAAATGATCATTATACCCTTCATCCATTAACATTTAACACACCAATTCCTTGACTCTCTCTTTCACCTTTCTATTGTCATCTCTCTCGCCTCTTCTCATCTCCTTCTCCTTTATTATCATTTCCCCTCTCTCCATCTTCATCTATAGTCATCCTCCTCTCCATTCACTCAAAATGAAAGGATTTAATCTCATCTCTAGCTAGTCTTTACACGTTCTAGATTGTGCTTACACATGGCACTTTCATTTTCAATTTCAGATATCATTTTTGTTTTAGATTGAGATTTAGTCTTTTGAAATATTTGCACTAAATAGCACTAAAACTTAAGTCATTTCCCTAAATAGCACTTAAACTGTTTTATTCCTTAAATAGCACTTAATAATATCCATAATGTCCAGTGATTACGAATATTTATTTGAATAATGACTAATGCATAATGACTAAAAGTGCTACATTGGGAAGAAAAACACATGTAGTGCTATTTAGAGAAAGTCATTATGTTTTAGAACTATTTAAGTAAATTCTTCTAGTTTTTTTTAAATTTCAGATTTCATTTGTGCTTTACACAAAAAAGTATTTTCCTTTTCAATTTTGAAATTTTCCCATTTCTTAAAATGGCAACTATTAATGCATTACAAAGTACATTGAAAGACATTACTACGCTTTAGGTCATCTCAAATGAGATGCCCAAATGAGTTGCTAAAAGGAGAGGGAATGAGATGTTGATAAATGCTCTTATTGTAGATAGATATCCAATAAAGATCCTCTAAGAGGAGAATGAAGGAAAAATTGACATTTATTCTATGTTTTGTGGTCCAATAGGTATGTGCCATGTGTCATATTTTATTCCTTTCTTCCATTTGAAAGTTTGTATTCATAGATTCTTTTTTAAGGCGTGAAAGTTTTTTTTATTTTTATTAATTTTAAATGTAAGAAGTCAAAATTAGATCAATACTCTGGAACGAGGATAATATTAATAATTACAAGTAAATATTTAATTCTAATTAAATATTATCATATAATAAATATTTATAACAAACAAAATAAAATATAATTGTGCTTACGTGGACCCACTACATTCTTTGAATAATAATTTAGGTATCTACGTGAGTCGTGAGATGCTCTATTAGCATGTAGTCTAAGATGCATCATTGTGAATGCTATTAAAAACATATCCACACACGTCCTATCTCTCTTCACTTATGCCATCTCCCGCCACTACTCTTCCCAATGCCATTTTCACTACACAAAGGAATCCATAATCCATTTTGGCTCGACTATGAGATTTCTCAACCCCAAGACATTTTTTCCTAAGATTAATTTAGGTAGTGTTTGAACTTTGAAAACTAACATTTCATTTTAATTATTACATTTCAGATCCAAAAGACAAAACCAGGAGTGAAAGTTAGAATTGATTCTATCCAGTAGCCAAGGTTGACAGGTTTTAATATCTTGGCTCGATCTTTTAGGTATATGAGGAGTTGGATAGGGATGTCGCTGGTCGCACATCATGTGGGAATGGCTTGGGCTAGGTGGAGGTCAGGGGTTTTGTGCAATTGAAAGTTTCGACTAGTATGAAAGGAAAGTTCTACCACTTCATAATTAGACCAACTATAATATATAGGACAGAATGTTGGGCGATTAAGAAAACCCAAATTCATTGATTGCATGATTGAGAAGAAGAGGAAAGAACTGCATGGATTTGGGAACGGCTTTCGAGAAGATTGTGTAAATCAACCCTAGAGAATATATAAATACTTTTAATATCCTTATTCAATTGTAATCTTCTAATATTTTTCTAGTTTTTTGCCATATGTTCTTTCCTACATAACCTTTTTGTGTTCAAAAAGTATGATAGGGTAACAAGATATGACAAACATATTTTATAAAAATCAAATAATCAATCAAAACATAAAAAATAACAAGCTATGAATAGTGAATGATGTAGGTCTTTTTAGGACGGAGGAAATAATATTGTTAAGTCATTTTATAATACTCCCTCCGTCCTAAAATTAATTTCCCAGTTTGATTTTTGTAGTCAAACTTTTTAAACTTTGACCTTATATTACGGAAAAAATATATTGAATTTTCATATAAATTTATTAGCAATAGATTCATTTTGAAACATAGTTTTGAAACATATAATTCTTATAAAATATATTTATATAAAAATTGAGATATTGATGTTCAAAGTGTCACATTGGAAACCGTAAAAAATCAAATGGAAAGTTAATTTTAGGACGGAGACTCAAATCAATTATTAGTTAAATCAATTATCTTTCATATTGCTACCTTTTGAAACAAGTTGGCTCTTATTACATCATCTCGCAATGCTCAGTCAAATAACATGATTGAATGAGACTCTTGACATTTTGGGTCAAATAAATCACCCCCAAATGACTTGCCAAACATAGCCTTACTCGAGCAAGGAGAAAAAAATTGATATGGAGTATATTTGTAGAGTCCTTTGAAACAACAATAGGTAAATGAATACCCTATAATCATTCTTCAACAAAGACTAAGGGCATGTTCTCCTTTGATGAGTTCCGATCTAATTCGATTAAATTCTGATCTGATTGTATTTATATTTAGAACTATTTCCAGTCTAATTTGATCTGATCTGATTTAAATAAGAATAAACAATAAGGGTCCGTTTGGTATACGGAATTGACGAAATTAGAATTAAAATTCCATGGGATTCAATTCCAAAGAATTGAATTCTGCAAATTCCAATTTATTTTTTATACTATCAATTCCAAATCCACATAATTTTTGTGCTACCAAACACCAGAATTGGAATTGAAATTCTCAATTCCAATTCCATAGTTTGAATTCCATGTACCAAATGGGGCCTAAGAAAAAAATAAGTTGAAGAAAACAAGCTCTAACATACTCACTAGTGAAAAACGAGTGACGAGTCATTCACTCGGATGAAATTAAATAATTATGTGTTCAACAAACAAAAATGAAATACTCACTATATACAGAGCACCAAAGTAACACAAAAATTTTCACTAACCGAAGAAACTAATTGCTCACTAATTTGCAATGACGGCACAGTTTAGTAATTCAAAGTATTTTGTATTGCACTTAGTATTTAGTTCACTATAAGCAAATACCCAGTAAAATTTATATATTCTAGTAAAAAATACTCCGTACTCCAAAAGAATACATAAATGGGGCAGTAATTCCCAAGAAGAACGACACCTGTCTTGGTTGGGTTGACATGGAGAGTATCAGTTGCTTTTGAATTAACATCTTACTTTATATAAAAAGATATGATATTTGTTGATAACAATTTCCCTGGGGACTGGGGTCATGCTACGGTCACATCACGGATGACACCAAGAATGACACCGTAAACAGCAATTGATTTCTTATAGACAACCATTATCTATGCAATAGTGTCAACCTTGGTGTCATCCCTGGGTTAAAGTAGCATTTTCCCTTCTTTTTTTGTGTGTCAAAAAGGGGGATTTCATTTATATGTGTGGAAAATCTTGTCTATACAACAAACATTACAGGATACCTTTGACCTTGTCCGACTGCTAATCATATCTTGGTATGTACATTATTGCTGAATCACCTCCCGGGACCCGGTTTTCTGCCACCCACGCGGTCCTCGTCCTCCTCGTCGTGAATCTCGCGTCTGGCCGGGGGCCGCTTCAACTTTTGGAAGATCTCGTCGAGGGACTCGGACACGCGGGTGGGGGCGGGGTCTTGGGACTGACGCAGCGGGATGAAGTCGCTGACCTGGCGTAACGGAGCGAATCTCTTTGCTTCAATGTTCGTCTTGAAGTTCTGGAGGCCCGCCTTCATCGAGGCCCACCGAGCTGCCAGCCCGGATGGGCCTTTTCCACTGGGCTCGGGAGGCCCATTGTCGAGCAGGGAGATCTTAGTAGAGGGGTTGCTCTGTTCCTTGAGGGATGCATACTTGTTGGCGATGGCTTCCTTGCTCCCTGAGGAGTATCTCCGGACTTCGGGTTTTGCAACTCTTGAAGAGCTTCCCTTTAAATCCTCTTTGTTTGAATCAGATGTCTTCTTCATCTCAACATCACTCATGTCCTGAACATTTTACAGCATAAACTACAAATTAAGGCCCACAAATCTACCCAACTATAATCGTAGATCTCTCGTCATTCTTCTCTAAAGCAGTAGGGTCCTGAAGTCGTAAGTCATGTCTAATCAAGAGTGACAATATGTACTCACTTTCAACACAACTAGTACCTCTTTTTCTCTTATATTTATCATTCAAGTTTTTTATGGACCTCATTTGTATTTCCTTCTTTTGTGAAAGGGCAAACCAGTATGGCAGTATATTTTGATAAAAAAGAAAGCAGTATCACTTGGGCAAGGCTGTTTACTCTTGTTACGGTACCAAAGTTGCTACTGGGTCGGACGTCTATAATATAATAATAATTGGCCCGGTCTAATATTATTTGAGCTGCTCCAATATATGCATCACAAGTACCAATGCCTAGTTATCTTACAGTGCACTAAGTTATCCATGAAGAAAAGCATGGAGATGGCAAAAAAGACGCTTACATTGACATTCCCTCCCGACTCCAAATAATTGCTTGTGCCATTGAAATTCCTGGCCAAGGGTAGAACATGTTCGCCAATATTTCTTCCTTCTTCCAGCCAGGTTCTCTCTGTAAAATTGAGAAAAAAACATGAGTCACAGCCAATGTCCAATCAACAAATACACCAGAATGTTGTGCTTATTACCCTTCTGCAAGATGAGTAATCCTGACGGATCAAAGCCATCCAGGTCCTCTGCTTCAGAATGGTGGAATCTGAATATCCTCCAGTTCCCAAAAAAGTTGATGATTCGGTCAAAGAAATTGCTGGCCACCAGCAATGTGTATATAACCATAATAAGAGGATAAATTCTGTTAAATCCTTTCCCAAAGAAAGGTACTGCATCATCAATGTTCCCCATTCGCTACAAACATATAAATCCATCATCGAAGAAATCAGATGCTACCTTTATCAAGAAAAAATTAGTTTGCTTTCCAAAATTGTCCTCCAAGTGGGGTGAATTTGAAAAAAAAAACATAACAAGAGAGAAAAGAGTTAGGGAAACTAATAAGGCAGCGGTGTTCAAATTATGAAAGTTGACATTGTTTTGGAGCAAGCAAACTAAAAAGAGAAGTATGACGGTATAAAAAAAGTATGACAAATCAAATGGGACATAGTATAACAGAATTCACCTTCTCAAAAATAGTTTTCTTGCCACCATCAAGACTGATGAGGTTAAGAAAATTGTAAGAAATCGGAGGTGCATAGCGAGCAACCATCCTGCAAGGAATGGTTGTTATAATATTTAATTAATACTTAAATGGAAGGGTGAACTGACTAAAATTTACAAAGCTACAGTATGAACTTTACGAGCAAATCATAAGCAAACCCACTGCACTTGTTTGCCTTGGTGTCAAAGAGTAGAACATCAGCATCCCCGCTTTGAACAACGAATAGTATGTGCACAGACACATGTACATCAGTGGAACAAAAGCAAACACCTATGGATAAAATTTCTTAGTGAACCTTTGCACCCATGGCATAAAAGGAATCAAGTGAATATATGAAATATTAGAATCCATTTTCAAATAGAGTGACAAGCATTAACCAGCAGGATTCAATGCAATGAATATGGAAAATCATCAATATACCTGAACAAGAACTTCTCGGTTACCGACGGATTTTATGAGAATAGAAAATATTGATAAATCAACTCCTCTGGGCAACAAAGTTGCCTCGGCTAAAAGAATTGCAGCTGACATGCAACCAAGCATGACACTTGACACTTTCTCCAATTGCTTGCGAAGAATACATCTCCAAATCAATTCTAAAAATAAAAAGAGAATCATATAATCGTTCTCTGAAAGTTGGAGCAAATAAATGTATTCTACTAGAGAGATTCAAAAGTAAAACTAACAAAAGATGTATAGATAATTGAGAAAAACTGCAATGTTTGTTAGGGTATAAATGTATAATCAGCATCATGTCTAATCCAGAACAGACTGCATTGTCCTGTTACCTGTTGTATCCAAAAAGGATCCTAGTGTCCCAGTCCGTTCAGGTCTCAAGCTAGACACAAATTTCCTGCATGAAGTATTTTACTTTTATTGGCTTTTATAATAACTCAAGACTTGATATAATATCATATAAGAATGCTTAAAGGATCAGCACATTTCATTTCATAACAGATGAAGTCTTCAACCATCCAAAAGGGGATACTTGTCCTAACGTTTCAAATATAAGAGTGACTATCAATATATCATTTATCAGCTGTGAGTCCAATACCATTATATCAGTGTTGAATGTTATAGAACAAACCTAAAATAATCTTGAGCTGATCAAATTAAATGATATTCAGTATATGATTTTTGCGAGTGGAAATAACTCATGATGATGGCAGTTTTAGAATTTCATCTCATTCTTCCTTCTTACTTTCTTTGCAAGGTGAAGGATATTTGCATAAAACTTTCCACAAAATTAACTAGCACTGAAGATTTCATGTCAGACTCCAACTAGCTGGGATAAGGTGATGTTGCTTATGATGATGATGGTGATATTTTCATCTAGTAATCTCCATCCCACCAGAAAATTATGTTTTCTACTTCTATAGATTTTTTGAAGTGATGTTACTGTGAGACTTCTATATATATTATTAATTTTTGTAAACTAAGTGATGATCAGCATATTGTTAATTATGTTTTCTAACTTTTGCATCAGCATATTGTCACTTAAACATTGTAATATTTTTTTAACTTAATGTTGGGAAAATTGCAATATAAGGAAAAAGAAATAATACTTGTTGTATATCTGGTGGGATTTTATTAGACTCCCTTTTTCATAATTGGTAAGTGGTAAATATTGGGGGCAAATTGGATTAATGCCGGAAGAAAAAGTAGAAATTACAAACCATCCAGTTGCATCTCGGCGTTCATAATTCTTTATTGTATCTTCCAATTCAAGAGCCTCAGTGACATATGTCCGATACTCACTGCAAATGAGACAATCGAATATATTGTTACCTATTCAAAGTAATTGAAAGGTTAAAAGAAAAGAACATTATACTTCATCCGTCCCAAAACAAAAACTTCTTTTTACGGTTTACGATGTTTGACAGAAGTTATTTTTAATCCAATTTAATAAATAATTGGTATAATATAAAAATAAAATTTATATATTAAAAAGTACATCAAAAGTTCTAAAAAAGAAGCGGTGACATGTCTATTATTTTATCAAATGAATAACAAAAATAGGCATATAAAAATGATAAATTTTGACCATATGAATAGTAATTAGTAACTTTGAAGTTTTTTTTGGGGCAAAAGGGGTACTTCTCAATGAAGACAAGTTAATGGCGAAGCGTATGACGAATGCAAGAATAATAGAAATAAATAAATTAATTAAATGAGTTTCAGCAACAAAAAAAACTTAAAATAATCATATTGAGTTTTAACCGGTCTATTTTTTCACCAACATTTTTGTTGCTTCCAATTTTCTCTTTACTTAGTATTTTACGGGATCAAATCGGACTCTAAGACAATACTATTGTCTTATCACAATACAAAGATTCAAACCACCAACCATAGACAGGTATGAGGTAGCAACTGTGACAGCTAACCTAACCAAATAGTAACTGCACAAGAGTAAAGTGCAAGGTTGATTCTTTTGACAATTTGACATGAAAATATTACCTTTTGTATCTATAGTACTCCTCACGAGCTATACGAAGATGGCGCCTAAGAGTAGCCATTGACTTCTCATCTGTATCATAGTCCATGTCATTTTCACCCAATCGGCCTCCTTGAGGTTTGAACGATGGGTCTTCTAGGAACTGCAAGAAGATATATGTCAAAATTACCCTATACATAAAATGACAAAGATGAATAACTTTTGGTTATAGGATATGTAAGCCACAAAAGTACCAGTTGAGCTATCATATTGTCAATGACATCCATACAAGGCCTCAATGGATCGCGTCTAGACATCTGTTTCGATGTTGCTTGAGCAACCTATAGATATTCATCATACCAAGGAGTAAATAAAATATGAGATGAGAAAGATTAAGGCATTAAGGTTAACAAATGCTATACTAAACTTTATGTAAAAAAAAACATCATATAGAAAGTCTACTTTTTGTGTTTAACAGTAAACCACAATACATTAACAGATAGAGTAAATCATCATAATATTTTGAGTATGTTCAAATTAGTTCACTCTCCTGGCCTCTGTTTGGTTTAGTGAAGAAATAGAGAAGAGATAAACAGGTGAGAATCAAAAGATGGATAAGTGAGAAATATTAGAGAAATATGGTAGATTGTGTGTTGCTTGGTAGGAGATAAATGGAAAGAGTTTGGTAGGAATTGGGATGGGGGGGGGGGGGGGGTGAACATTTCTCTCTTTCCAATTTCACCCCAACTAAAGTGCAAGGAGAAATTTAGCTTAAGTGCATCTAAGAAAGTTAAGCAACACGCTCGTCACAAGTACTAAAACTACAAATTAACTATAACATATGCATGATGAGATATCAGAAATCAGGAAACAAATGCTGTAGGAAATACTTACAACTATGGCATTTGATAATTCTTGGTGAGCATCATCAAGTTTCACTGCCATTTTGGCAATTTTATGTGAAAGCACCTTCCGTCGAGTGGTCCAATCAGCATTTATCCAAATGCCTTTTGGAATCTCAATCAAACCAAAACCAAGAAGAAAAGCACCAGTCACCAGTCCAAAGGTGTTGGAGCAAGCCATAGCAAAACCTAGTAGACCTCCACTCCTATGAGAGAGAAAAATGTTGCTGATAAATAAAAAATAAAAAAACTAGTTTCATATAAAAATACAAGCTATAACAATAATTGAATTTTGATGAAAGGCAGTAGTTCACTAATGAATCACCAACAAACATAATACATAATGGGATAGAGGGAGTAAATTATAAAATCAACATAATGAGGTACAGAGAGTAAATTATAATTTCAATAAAAATGGGATATCAGGAGTATATTATAATTTCATATCAACTAAATAGAATGCATCTTTTGGCTACCTAAATCATGGCGCAGAAAGATAAAGTTTATGGAAAAACATGAAAACAGTTCAGGAAGTTAGTACAAACCAACTTTTCCGCATCCTCATGATAATGAGAAGAACAAGCCCAAAAAGACCAATGGATCCCACAATTAAATAGAACACCAAATTTACATGTATGCTCGTCCTTAGCCTTTCTACTACAGAAAAGTCTCCAGCATCTTCAAAACCCTGGATAAGTGGAACCACAAGCCTGTTCAAAGGTAAATAAAAAACGATAAACTACACCATCACACAAGTAACTGAGAATTGAGGATAAATGGGTGTGCATGAAAATTTGGTAGTAAAGCATTTAATAACTGCACAATGAAAAATTAATCATGCAGTAAACTTGGCATTGAGAATAAATAACACCCACACACACATACAAATAGATCTATTAGAGTTCAAACATAGGGTTACATGATACCCTTTAGAATAACTGTGACTTTAACTGTACAATAATTAAAAGTATGCATTGCCAGCCTTCTATTCGAACCATGAACCATAGATCTAACTCTTTTCCGGTGTATAAAGAACTAGAGAAATAAAGGTGTCAACATAAATATATATTAAGCAGGCAAAGCTGATTTATCACTAGAAGACAAGTAGCAGATAAAAGGCAGGAAGTCCAATTGTTTACCCATGGCATACCATGTGAGTAGAAACGTACTCCAATATGACCAACTCCAAAAGAATGAGATGCCTCCATTACCTTGTCCAACTATTGTCTAATAAAAAAATAACAAAATGAGCAGCATAAGTACAACATTAAGATTTTCTTAAGATAGCTAAGCAAATGAAACTAATATGTCATCCTCAAAAGAACTGTAAAGAGAGTTATATAAACATGACATGCATGATTAATAATGCATTCGGATACTTAGAACTTAGAAGCAAGGTAATGGCAAGTTGAGTAAAAATAATACAATGAACCATGTCATCAGCACCATATTCCCAACTAGTTGGGTACTTGGGTCAGTGAAACTTAATCTATAGTGCCAATTACGACTAAGTATAAAATAAATTAACACTATACATTCATGCGTAAAAACATAGACACATAGCGGCAATGTTTTACGCTACATGCCCCAACATTCACTAGAAGGAACCATGAGATGAAAACTCTAAAACCATCATACTTGTATGTTATTTTCAGGTGCATGGAAAATATCATGAGATGGCGATGAGCTGAGATACTTTTTATTGCTATGTCCATTTCATTGTTGACATTGCAAGACTAAAATGTCCATAAATGTGTATGTTTATATCTGTAGAAAGTATCACGTGGTTCACAATGTTTCTCCGTCCTTTGCATAAATCTCAACCACACAATTTCATTTTATTAGAAATTGTGTATATACAAATTGGGCACATCGTTTTGGGATGGATGGAGTATCGATTCTGCTCATTTGCTGGATGGAATTGTTGAGTCTTTTTTGCTTCTGTCTTTACTATTGGAGATAGAAGGTAGAGTGACATCTATTCCAGATAAATTGATGTGGTTTGGACATATAGAAAGAAGACCCAGTGATGCACCAGGTTAGAAGACTAGGGGCAGTATAGTGCAGAGGGAAATGAATTTTGCAAAAGAAGAAGAGGGAAAATCATAAAGACGTAGGAGGAGGTGTTTCAGAGCAATATGTTTCATCTTAATTTAGACAAGTGTCTTTATAGTTATGGATAGAAAGAAATGGCGGGAGAGCATACCAAAGTACCAAACATGATTTTCCTCTTGGTTCATGTAACCAACCTTCGATAGAAGGAAATGGCGAGAGAGCATTTTTGTGAATGACCAAACATGATCGTACTCTTGGTTCAAGGTAATTGACCCCAAGTCATGTGGAATAAGGCTTAGTTGTTGTGTTTTTATTAACTATTGAGGGAGAGACCCAAAAAGATGTGGGGAAAAATATTAGAAGTATAACGTGGTACTATTGAGGAGCCATTTGTTCATAGCCTTTATAATTCTCAAACTTCCTTAATGCATACAAGTTGTGAAAAATAATACATAGCACTTCATGTGTCCCATTATATAAGTCTTATTTTTCTTTTTCAGTTTGTCCCACAACTATGGTCACTTTTCTTCATAAAACTCCACAAATTTCTGATCATTTCCAACTCACCATTTTATGTATTCACATGTTTACAAGCATGCATGCACTTAAATGACGATGATCTGCTTTTAGATGCTATAGTTGCAAGGTTGATTATACGAAGTATAACGCTTGTTTAATTAATATCCGTGTAGAAAGAAATTTGGATTATGAATGGGATGGAAAGAGCACATAATAAATATGTTGGTTTAAAGAGTTGTCTGTGTTTGATTAGAGTATTAGACAATGCATAGGACTGGAAGTGATTTGTTTACGATAGGAACTTATGTCACAACCCAAAATTCACAACTATCTATCTACAACCAGACAATGTGCTGGAACCGATCTCCATGTCATCCACCATATGCACTGTGACCGGGCAAAAGAACCAGCATTCTCATCCGTCATCATCTTTCCCCCCTTCAATTTTAATGGGCTACATGCTCCCTACAATCCAGTTACACCGCAACATTTTACTATGCTCCATGCATATATTACGTAAGTATTTCAGAAAATAGATCCATCCCCAGAGAAACTTGGTCCACTCTTTAAACCACTTAACTGCCCAATGGCATACTATTGTAACAATTCAAGATCCAAAGACTACCATCCAACCGATTAATCTTTTTCCCTCATTTTGCTATAGATATCCAGTTTGGTGTCAGTACCACATTATACTCCTAGCCCACTAACAAAATGTTTTCACCTAGAACTCTAGAATGGAACTATCTGATTTATCAGAGCTATCAATAACACTTGTAAATTGGGCTAAATAAAAACAATCCTCGGAAGCTAATCTCAATTCGAAGTGATCTTAACTGGAACCAATAACATATTATACATACATTCAAATACGAATTGCAATCTGTAGTGAATCAGCTAAGAACAATCTATAAATAGTGAGTCGATCTAAGTCCAAATTCATAAAAATAAATACATAAAACAATAGAATCGATCAATGAAATATGCAGAGAAAAAATGAACCATGTACAAGAATTGAGCGAGCATACCGTCCAAATATCGGCGGGCACTAGAACAATGACGGAGATGGAGCAAAACCAAGCGTATCCGACGGTAAAGAAGACGTATCTAGGCACGTCGGGACCAGCAAAGTACTTGAGAGTCAATAACACCATCCCTAGGGTCAGAGGAAGCGAGATCAGATAGAACACCCACATATTCCCCTCTTTCAACTCCTACCTCTGTGTCTCCGTCTCTCTGTTAATGTCCGATTGACGATTGTGCATAAATGCGCGTGTACGTATTCCGGTATGTGTGTGTTACAAATGGAGGAGTTGATCGGAGACACGCCGGTGGATTCGCCGGAGGTTCTCTCCTTTGCTGATCGCTGCAATTGACAATCCACGGGAAGCTCGGTGCTTGGGAGCTAATGTGCGCCGCCTTGGCGGTTTGTCTTCCCTGCACTGCCCTCCGTCGCTCTTACCGTGGCGTTAAGTGGTCCTCGGTCGTTTTTGCGATGACGTGGCAAATGGTTTTTTTGGCTATCAAATACTCCTTCGGCCATACATTTTTTTGGACATTATTCACAAAATCAAAGTTAATTAATTTTATTTGCTTATATTTACCACTCATTTTATAAAGTAATATATTCTAGTCACTTCTAATTTTGTAAAATTTTTCATGTAGCTTTGGACTATATAAATTTTATTTTTAAGTTTTACCTATATAATAAAATAAATTGAATTGAAAAAATAAAATCATTCAAATCTCGTAACGCGCAATGAGAAAATCTGAAATAGATAGAGGGAGAACGGAGCATATCAATTGCACTTTTATTTACAAGGCTCACCGTGGCTCCTCCTACAAATATTTTCCAAACAATTATTTTGATGACAATAGATTTTTAGATACATTTAAAAAGAGATTTTTCTCATCACACAACAATTGTTTTGACATTAATTTTTAATGGTGACAAATAATTAACATGAATCTAATGTTAGTGTGGCGAAAATGAGACACATCATTAGATGAGTGGACATACGCATATAGATAGGATAAAAAATGAAAATATGAAAGTGAAAATTGGAGTAACACATATTTTAGGAAAGATTGTGAAAACTCATCTTGACTTATCTGGATATATAGAGAGGAGATCACTAGAGCTTCATGTGAAAAAAGTTGATCAAATTGTAAATAGATATGTGACAAGAAGAAGAGGTAGACTTAAAAAGATTTAGCAAGAAGTATTTAGAGAAACATTCACATGAATAATCTCACAACAGATATGATACATGATATGATACAACGACATTGTTTGATTCATGTAGCCAACTCTACCTAGTGAGTTAAGACTTTGTTGTTGTTACTGATTGAATTCATTTGAGGCCACAACGATACCCCTACCTTGTCCGTACAAACCATGACCCCTCTCCTTTTTATAACTGCTATCAGTTTCTTTTAATTCTTTACAGTCTCTTTAGATTTCTTCCAATTTATTTTAACAACAACTTGAAAAATTGGTTTAAGTCTTTTTTCATATTATTCTCATTACATCTATTGCTATTATATTTTTACTGTTGTTATTATTATTATTATTATTATCATCATCATCGCCATTGTAATTAAAATAAAATTAAAAAATGAAGTAATATCACAATTGTTATAAACAAAATACTCTATATTTTTTGTCCTAAAACAAATGTTAGTTATCAATATATGGTCAAATATGAAATATTAAAATGTTAAATAAATTAATTTATTATATATTCCCCTTTGAGATTATAGATTATTTATGTCATTTTTTTTAATTAAAATTAACAAAAAAAATCTCCTTTTTCCACTACTTTTGGTACATGGGTTAGTGGTATGCAAATTAACAAATAAAAAATTGTACTATAGATATTGATTTAAAAAATTTAAAAAAGTAACATCCGAGTAAAAAGTATGAGTCACAAAAATATTATTGTACTATATGTGGTTTGAAACAAGTTAATTAACCTATGAAAAAATAAAAATAGATATTTACAATAAATGAAGTATGATTTATCTTAATAAAAACATATAAATTTCACAATTATAGTACTCATTTCAACATTTTTTCCTACACTTTTTATTTTCTCTAACATTTTCAACTTCTTTTAGTTTTTTTCAACTACTTTTAATTTGTCTTGCTTCCATTTTCTTCTTACATTTTTAGTATTTTCAATATCTAACTTTAAAATTCAAACTCAAAAGAACATGTTACATAAAGGGGTGTGTAGGGAAGTGGAGAGTATGCAAGGTGTTATTTAGATTGATGGGGCTTCGTTGCTCTGAAAAAAATTGAATAATACCAAATTTAACGATAGACACATCATACAATAGGGGCCAGTTACTATGATATTGAGAACTAATATCATGGGATGACCGGAGGTACTCCGCTGCCCCGTTCGTAAAATTAACGGTTCTTGTCCCTCTAATTCCCTGGTAAACCTCTCACCCCGCCCCGACCCGAACACACTCCACCCCCTCAATTGCACCCCCAACATATTACTGTTACTCATCTCACCAAATTGCATTTTTTGAAACTCAACACCACAATTAGACCTGCAAAAAATGAACGACATGTTTTTGTCCCGAAACTCGATCCGAAAATACTGAATTTTGAACAAAGGTTTTGTTGACCGAACTCGAAATTGACCAAATTCAAAATGACCTGCTAAAAATGGGTCAAAGCCGACCGAACTCGTACTGGCCAACTCGCTAATGTAAGAGTTTCTCTCAATCATATGCTTTACTATGAAAAATAATATTATAAAAAATGTTACATTTTTTTCTTACTGCTCATTTTTAATGTATAAATTTATATTTTTAGAAAAAATTTTAATGATATTGTATAATTAGCTTACTTTTTTACAAAAATTACACATTTTAATTCTTTATATTAATTTATGTACATAAAAATTATTATTTTTCTTTATTTTTATTTAATTTGAAGTCAAAATTTATCAATTTTGACTGAAAATATCAAAAGTGTTTATCAATTTTGAGTAAAGAAAGTAAAAAAAAAAGTAGACTAGTGTTGGCGACAGAAGAAGGAAGCCGGATCAAAGAAGGAAACTGAATCCCTTTGGGATTTGGTTTAGTATCTTTCTTAGTTTGCTCAGTTCTTGTTATAGTAGGAATAGAATTATGGTAGGAATAAAAGTTTATTTAAATCCTTTACTCTTTCCTATATAAAGGGGGTAGACCTTTGTAAGCACAAGCCAATTCAATATATAGAAATATTTTCTGTCGCCAACAACTAGCGAGACACAACGGCCGACAATTTTTCACCAATTGGCCGGAGATGACAAAAAGAACTTTAGAGCAATGCTAGGGGTACATCAAAAGATGTACCCCAGATGTACACCACCCTATTCTCCACCACACATTTTTATTTAATTTTTATTTACTTATTTTTTTAATTTTTTTTTGCTTTTTTTAGTGGACAAGGAGGGGGTGGGGTATATATGGGGTACACATTTGGTGTACCCCTGACATTTTTTAGAACTTTAAGATTCAAGGTCCAGGTCTTGGACATACATTTGAAGAGATATTGCATGTGAAGGAGTTAATGAAGAATTTGTAAGAACGACGACAAAGTACACTTTCTCAATCAACATTTGGTGTTTGTTCACTCAAATGTATTTTCGAACGGGCCAAAAACGAAAGTGTGAAGAATATTTTTGAACGGGCTAAAAACGAAAGTGAGAAGAATATTTTCAGACGGAGGGATTACTTCTTACTTTCATTAAAAGTCAAAACAAGATATGTTTTCAAGAATAGAGAGTGTAATTTTTATTTAGCTATAAACTGAAAGTTAATCTTTGTTCGGATAAAAAATGAAAATCAGACAAAAACTCTATGACGAAAATATTACTCCCTCCGTCCCCTAGTTTTTGTTCACTTTCATTTTTACACACCATCCAATGCACTTCTTTAATCCATTTTATCTTGTAATTTGTATATTAAAAAATTATAGAAATTATATATTAATAATCTACAAATCAAACAAGATCACACATGACTATATTTAGGCTTACACATTGAGAGAATTTGATGAGTCAAAGTGTTTAGATGAACAATTCCAAAAGTCAAAATGGACAAAAACTGGGAGATGGAGGAAGTAAGTTTTATCAAAAAATGGGAGTCCTTGGGAGTAATTTTTTGGGATTCAATTTTTTTCAAAGCGGTAAAAAAGGGAAAAAGGTAGTAAAGAAAATAGGCAAAATGGTCAAATGACTCAAATCCAGCTTTAGAAGAAAAGTCAAGAACGCGGAATCCTCGCAAGGCGTAACCCCCATCGCCGGAAGGCTTCTGTGCGAAGCTTCGAATGTTCATTTCCGGCAGTACAACTACAATCTTTTCCCTCTATCTCAATCTTCCTTGTGATCGGCGTTCTACGCCGGTTACAAATTCCGATCGTGGAGATAATATTAATAACAAGGTAGGTCGAATAAAACGAACCATTTTTGGCTCGCATTACGAGCTTGGGTTCCCGGAATCGATAAGCTCGAAATTCCCTGATGAAGTTCCGGTGGGTTCATGTGTGGGTCTCCGTTCTGGTGTGCATAATCTTTTCAAGCTCGGCGAACGACTTTTTCAGCTCCACTGATCTGAAATCAGATGGGGTCAACGTCAATCGAGCTGCACCTGCACGTCGCTCGTTGCTTTCTGATCCAAAGTAAGCTTGATAACTTGATTTGAGAGTCTGTGAGTTCTGAATTACAGCAGAATTTTTTGTCATATCATGTGGAAATGCTGTTTGTCCCTTTTCACATCTAGATTAAGATTATTGATTTATAGATATGGTTTTGATCATTTCAAATTTTCAAACTTATTTCAGTTTAACGCTTTGGATTCGGTAATCTTCATGTGTAGGCCCAAAGCATTGTGCTCAATATTGTTCAAGAATGAATTTTTATTTTAAATTTTATCTTAAGAAGATCATACTTATTGCAAAATATTGCAAATGTGAACTTAACAGTTAATAATATCATAATCTGTTTTCTTATATTAGGACATGCATTATAGAAAAGCCAATATCCATTCTGTGAACTTATAAAGCCCAAAGAATTGAGAATGGATATCTTCATTATGTAACCAATCAATGCATACAGTATATATATAAGTGGCACTCCGTGGATTCAATGGCTATCATATACTGTGACATGATATTTGAATCTTATGAATTTTGGTACATGTGAGACTATGATTAGTATGATATGTGGAAGTCATATATTGCATATTCCTTATATGGAGTGAATTCTCACATGGGTAATTTACGCAAATGGGAATTAAACATATCACTTTTCCCTAAATATAACCAGTCTTATCTACTCTAACGTTTAGCAATGGAAAGTTCTAAAACGCCCTAACTTTGGGAAAAATGACCTATTACACAATTCAAGTAGAATAAGACATTATTAAAAATAATTTGAATGGTCATTGAAATAATTAGTCATTATCCAACACTTGTTGCTAATGACCACATTCGTAGAGTCATTCATATAATTAGTCATTATACAACACTTGTTGCTAATGAGGGCATATATGACAAATCATGTGGAAATATGTGTCATAAAGGGAATAAAACATACTTGGTCCTATTCAGAGAAACGAACTATCTTTTAGTCCTACATGGAGCAAATTTTTCTTCTCACATAATTGGTATAATGACATGTAGGGGTTTTAGAAAAATTCCAATGCATGTATATTAAATTAGTGCTTTCCACGATAACATATTTTTTTAAAAGTGATTCAGTCACTACAACTACTTGTTATGGAACATTTCTTTCAGCAGGGAATCTGAAACTGCCCTAATTGCTGCCCTGGATGGAACAATTTACCTATTCGATGTTACCAGTAAAAAACCAATCTGGTCATTTACATCTGGTCCGCCAATTTACTCTGCACACCAGTCTCCTATTCACAAGGAAAGTACATCCGAGATAGGAAGTGGTTACTTCATCGATACTGGAGCTGGGGATGACTGGGAACTTTATGCACACAATGGACTGGGGAAACTGGTATTTTGTTGCTTTTCTTAAAATGTACACTGATCAACTCAACAAAAATGCCCAATTTAGGCCATCAACTATACACTACCACCCTCGCAATTTGGTCATTGACTTTAGTACTTATGAACTTAGACCCAATCTTATCCTCATGCATACTTGACTCTAGTTTAACAAATTCATTTTTGTATGGTCACTAAATTTAGACCAAAATTGATACTCAATTTTGTCATCTATTGTGCAATTCACTAGTTGAGAGACCCAAATTAGTCCTCATGTAATGAAGAGACTCTTCTTAATTTTGGCTAAATATGCCCAAGGACTAAACTGTTTCCAAATTGCATAATGAAGGACCAAATCAAGGCCAAAGGAAAGTTGATGACCAAATTGAGTAATAATGGGCAGCTGAGAGACGAAATTGTCTTTTATCTTTTTTATAGATGAAATGCACCTTTATTTCAATTGTGTATTGCCTACCATATATAGATACATGAAGGTTCAGTTACTGCATTTTTGTTTTGTTTCTCCATACTTATTTTCTATGCCGCTTTGGCAGTGGCCCATGATAGATGGTGGTATTTCTTGATATGCTAGAAAGTTATATGTATATGTCAGATATTGAATAAGAAAATGGGGCACTCGAAACAATATCTGACATATTCATATAACCTTTTTACATGCATTTCGTTTTTGACACTATCAATTGATTGATTGTGTACTAGAAACATGTTTACCCTCACATTTGAGCGAAAGTTATATGCATTTTCTTTTTGACACTGTCAATTCATCAATTGTGTATTAGAAACTCAAAAAGAGTATCGAAGCTTATGTTAGTTCAACGCCTCAAATAGCAGAAGATGGAGGAGTTGTTTTAGGGTCTAAAAGAAGTACTGTGTTCCAAGTTGATGCAAATACTGGAAGGCTAATTTCTACATATACAATGCCGGGTTCTCCAGAAGGCACTGTTAATGAAGAGTCTAATATTCACTATAAAAGCACCGATTGGAAGCAGGGGCTGCCTGGATCTGTGGATGTAAAACACGATGAATCACCACTCTACATTACAAGAACAGATTATGCATTGGTGTCTTTTGTTCCAAACTCAAATGAGGTTCTGTGGAACGTGACAGTTGCTGAAATTGGGGCAGCTTTTCTTTGCCAAGGTATAGATGATCCATCTGCTGGGGTTAATTTGGATTCAAGATCTGTTGATGAATCTGGTACTCAATTCAATATGCCATTGCCGTGTAACTCATGGGCTCAAGTGCATCGCTTTCGCGGTCCAAATTTACTAGAACGATTGTCTAGTCCCAATTGGTTGCCCGAGGCTCATAATCCTGACAAGACACCATCAAAACTTATTCTACCTTCACAACCCAATGTTGACAAAATTAGTAAGCTTCTTCTATCTTCACCTTACACTGGTTTATATCCAGACAATCATGGTGAAAATGGACAAAGAATGAAAGGCACTAGGAAGCTTATCAATGATAGACTAAGTGTGCTTTCTGAAAGATTTAGCATGTTTACTCTACTCATTTTCACTTTTATGCTTGTGGGAACCATTTCTCGCAATTATCTAGTTCGACGTCCCATTAGTTTATTGGAGGAAAATGTAACTCCCAAAAAAAAGAAATCAAGAAAGTCTGCAAAGAGTGGAGGCAGTGTAGTGAAAAAGGATGAAGGTGTTGCAAAAAAGGCAGATATTGAGAGTGGTAACAGCCTGTTGTCAAACCTGAACCATCAAACTTCACACAATGTAGATGGACGGACAATTGGTAAATTATTTGTGTCAAGTAAGGAGATTGCTAAGGGAAGCAATGGGACAGTTGTTTTTGAAGGAATCTATCAAGGCCGTTCAGTTGCCGTGAAGCGGCTAGTCAGGGCCCACCATGATATTGCTTTTAAAGAGATTCAGAATCTTATTGCATCAGATCAACATCCAAATATTGTCAGGTGGTATGGAGTTGAGCAAGACCAAGATTTTGTTTATCTGGCATTAGAGCGCTGCATTTGCAACTTAAATGATCTTATCCAGATCTGCTCTGTCTCTTTTGAAAATAATGATATTAACAAGGGTGTGGATGCTGAATCTTTGCGCTATAGGATCCATTTGGATTCTCTGAAACATGATGTTCAGGGTATTTATTTGTGGAAAGAAAACGGCTATCCTTCAGATACATTACTCAAGTTGTTGAGGTCCGTTAAAGTTCCCGTTCTAGAGTCTACACAGTCAACTTTATAACATTATTTTTTGAAACACAGTGGCTTTCCCTGAATCGTGGCATCAAATGATAGCAAGTCCATTGAACTATTGTTTTTCCTCTCTCCCTTAAAGGTCCATTTGCAACTTGGAAAATGCCAAGGAAAAAAATTAGGGCGGAAAATAGAGGAGAGTTTTGGAAAGACAATTAATTCAGGGAAAGAAAAAATGTCCCACAATTAATAAACCAATTTAAGATTTTTGTTCAAAATCATTTTTTTTATTATGCTACATAAATACATGCAAGTCTTTTTTGAAATTTTAATCAAATTTATTTTCCTTTGTATTTTCCTAATTAAAATCAAACATTATAAACTGTTTAGCATTTTCCCTTTGGTCTCCCATTTTTTGTGCTCCAAACATAGCCTAAGCAAACCTCAAACTACCCTTTCATCCTTAACCATGAATGTTATAGACTTATGGTTTTATTGCAATTTGAAATGCTAATACCTTGATTCTCCCGACTGTGTGCATTGGAAATTTATGATTGTGATGCCCACTTGGATAAGTATTATGCTTTTGCAATATCCACTCATGTTTGAAATCTGCCTGATTTCATATATTTGTTTCGAATTTGGACACAGGGATGTGGTCTCTGGGCTCGTCCATCTACACGAGTTAGGAATTATTCATCGAGATCTGAAGCCCCAAAATGTATTAATAACCAAGGAAAGAGTATTGTGTGCTAAAGTTTCTGATATGGGTATAAGCAAGTGCCTTACTGGGGATATGTCTTCTCTAGGCCATCATGCAACAGGCATTACTTCTTACCAAGCCTTTTTATTAGCTACAAGCATGCAATCTATTCATATTTTTTATACATTTCACATTATTCCTCTCTCTTGTTCATCGGTCCCAAGAAGAGTCCCATTTTAAACAGTTTTTGTCGAAAGGGGATTGTTTTGTCCAACCAAACCTTATTTTGTGTTATTTTCCAAAAAATTATCAATTATCAAAAATGGTCAAAGACTACAAATGTAGCTTTACCCAATAAATACATTTGTAGAACAGTAGAAGTATAATTATGATTCATGATTTATGATTGTTTACAACAACCCTGTATAATCCCAACTCCGTTGCGTGACTTGCGTCTGGGAGGTCAAGATGCACATAACCTTACCCTAGACAAAATAGAGAGGATGTTTCCATTAGATCCTTGATGGATTGTTGCATTTATTGCCCAAAATTTCATACAAAATAAGAAGCAAAAAAAAGTTTAATGTGCATTGATTTAGTCCATTATTTATCCAATGTTAACATACTGTTATAGTGTCTCTTTTAGCTCTATTGACAATGGATGCAAATTTATGACTGCTCTACCTTGGCAAAATTATGTCATGCATTGGTCAAACATAACTTTTTGGGGGGGGGGGGGGGTGAGGTACTAGTGCCCCTTCCGTCCCATATAAATTATTGCTCCAAAATTTATATTGACCCCCAAAAGAGGGTAGTTTCAAAAAGTCAACTTTCATGCAAAGTCCAACGGCACGCGGGTTTAGCCAATTACTTCGAACAATCTTAGAAATAAGTTTTTGGTTATTTGTGGAAGTTTGTACCGTTATTGAGCTGGCAAGAAATAAAAGGTTGTAGCTTACTCAAACGAGACTTTTATTTTTGGGACTCAACCACAAATGGAGTAATTGATTATCTAATTCTTGTACCTATGAATTTTCGCAGGTCATGGAAGCCCAGGATGGCAAGCTCCAGAACAGCTTCTTCAAGGGCGTCAAACACGTGCATTAGATTTATTTAGTCTGGGATGTGTTCTATTTCATTCAATTAGTGGTGGTAGCCATCCCTTCGGTAGCCCTATGGAACGTGACATCAATATTACAAAGAATAAAATTGACCTTTTCTTGGTGAACCATATACCCGAAGCTATGGAACTCTTCTCTCGTTTATTAGATCCTAATGCTGAAATGAGGTATGATGTGCAGAATGAAACCTAGCTGCAATGCTGCTGTAGCTGGACTGTTTGGATTTGGGGGGGGGGGGGTGGAGGGGTTCGGAGGGCCGAGTCTATATCATGATAAATAGAAATTTTCTAAAAAACAATCACATACTATCTGAAGCACTCCAAAGCCTTTTCGTCAAACACTTGAAAACCCCTCCATCCAAATACACCATTACATTCCTTCCACACAGTACAATTAATTTGTTTTGTTGTGAGTTTACCAATATCTACGTACCTAACTTGTTGAGGTTTAGTGAGCATAATGCTATGGTGTTTTCAATGGTATAAAAACAATATAGTTGTGTGAAAAAATGATGTGAATTCTTATACGTTTAAGCAGGTGGATATCATGCACTAAGAAGTAAAATTGACCTCATAGAGTTATAGTATAATCTCATGATTTGCCCATGATCATTTTAACTTTCATTCTCAAGAGTCAGACCTAATATACATGCTCAAAATTTGTGATTAGTTGCTACTCCCCTCTCTCTTTGTATCACACTGGTGCTTATTTTTTTGTTCCTAAATAAGTGCCGTGTTAGGAATTTGACAGTGTTGATTGATACTCCGGTATCATATTTACCGTTATTCACCTAACTATATTCTGGCAATTAAGGAATAGGTTGTTAATCTTTCTACTGCCTCTTTAATTTTCCTCTTTCCTTTTGGCTATACATAAATAAAATTCTCATTTCCTTATAAGAAAGTAATTGTGTAGCTGATATTTCCCTTTCTAAATAAATCCCAACCACACAACATCACAGCTTGATAAGAGCTTTTAGAAAGGCTTTTAGCGTCTTCAATATGAATTAGCTATTTGACCATGTCTAAAAGCTAAAATAATGTTTCATAATGAGCTAAAGAGAATGCCAATTTTCAAAAAGCTTAGCTTTGAGGTTTTCTGAAAACAGCCTCTTGAAAAGCTTTTTATTAAATACTTTATGCACTTAAACCACTAACGAGTAGTTTATAATTGCTATTCCTAGCATGTCTGCATAAATAATTAAGGTGAAAATGGAACAAAATGGCTTATATAAATTGCTAATGCAAATAAACTAATTGTGAAACGTGGTCAATGTTAAGCTTCGTGCAAAATGCAAAGTTACACAGGGCAAATTAAATAGGGGCGTAGGGATTATTTTATAGAAATGCGAAACTGAATAATCTTGTTAATCTTGTCTTGATATGAGTTGCATTTAATTCTTTTATCAACTCCTTTGCAAAGTTGAGCCGTGCCACTTACTCAGAATCAAGAAACTAGTTCATCTGTTAAAATGGTTATGGTTTTGCTAGTTGGATGTGAAATTGTGAATATTTAAGACCTATGCTCCTGAATTTTCTGAACGATGTTCTTGTGAATGTGGATCTTTTAGTTCTCTAACCTCTATTTTAATAATATCTCTCTTTCTTAATTTCACACAGGCCAAAGGCAGTAGAGGTTCTTCTTCATCCTTTCTTTTGGACCTCAGAGATGCGATTGGCATTTCTTCGTGATGCTAGCGATAGGTTAGAACTAGAAGACAGAGAGACCGGTTCTGTTATATTAAAAGCACTGGAAGGGACATCACGGGTTTCCGTGTGTGGAACATGGGACTCAAAGATGGACCCCATTCTCCTCAAAGATATAGGCCGCTTCCGGCGGTACAAGTTTGACAGTGTCCGCGACTTGCTCAGGGTCATACGTAACAAGTCAAATCATTACAGAGAGCTTCCTACAGATATTCAGGTGGGTTTTCTCATGATAAGAATGTGGAATCCCTTTAGAACTCTGAAAATGATAGAAAAGAAAATAGGGAGGAAGATTAGAAACTTAGAAAGAAAGAAAAGATGGGGAAATAAAATGCCAGTTCAATTGCAATTACTTTAAAAAAACTTTTTAGAACTTATTTTATTTACTTCATATTTATTTTACTATATAGACTAAGAAATCCTAACATTTATGAGCATATTAAAAACATTAATCACATTTGGTATTCCTATTCCGAGGTAAAGACAAGCACAAAAAAAATCAAAGCATATTTTCCCATTCCCTAGCATTATCCGGGATCCAAAAGTGAGGTGAGGGCGGGGTGGGTGGAGTGGGCGCGAGGGAGGAGGAAGGCGGAGGGGGGGGGGGGCAGGGAGTGGGTGGGGAGGGCGAGGGAGGGGGAGAGAGTAGTTTGCCCTTTTCTCTCCTTTTCCTCACAAAATTGGAAGGAAAATCACTTATCCAGTTTTAGTTACCTTTTCTTTTACTTGCAATTTTCTTTTCTTCTTCTTTTTAACCAAAGACCAAAGTTTATTTTTCTTAGCATTTTCTTTTCTTTTACCTTCGGAAATCCTGAACCAAACATAGCGTTAATCTTATGGAAGCCAATAGTCTTCTTTCTATGACTCCTCCAACAAATGTCAAGCACCACATCGATGTGTTGAGTAGCTGCACTCTCTTGTGGGATAACCTTACATCCCGCACTTGTTCTATCTCATCTTCTAGTGTATTTGTGATAGAGAGCTTCCTGCTGTAATTCATGTGGTTTTCCCATGCCAAAATTTAACCTGTTTTTCATTCACAAACCGGTGATTTTAATAATTTCAGGTGGTTTTCCCATGCCAAAATCTACTCCACCTCTGTTTCCTGCTATGGAAAACAGTAATGCTGAACATGTTTTCCATTTATAAAACATCGATCGTAACGTTTTTGTTTTGCATCATTTTGTTTTGAAAACATTTCAGAAAGTTCTTTCAAGTAAACATGCCCTCTGATGTCCTTATTTTTAGATATACTTCCTCTGTCCCGATTTAGTCTAGATGGTTTAACTTCACGGTGCTCGTGAAATTCACAAGTTTTTCTCCTATGGAGTGTTTGGCATTCTGTCTATCTTTTTGCGCTTCCAACTTAACACAAGTAATACATTATTTTGGCTACATTGTAGGAACTTTTGGGGCCATTGCCAGAAGGATTTAATGCCTATTTCACTAGCCGCTTTCCTCAACTGCTTATTCAGGTTTACAAAGTTGTGTCCACGCACTGTAGGGAAGAAGAACTCTTCCAGAAATACTTCACAAACTCAGCATTGTAATGTCTTCTGACTATATATATATATACTCTTTACGCTGCACATTACTTGTTTAATGCCTGTAACATTTCCTGTACATAATGACTGTACATGAGGGCGTGTGTATGCAGAACATGCCCCTAGTTGGAAGTAAAGAGATTGTTTTGAAGAGGCCCTACACTCAAACGTAAAAGCACGCACAAAGCAAACACATTAGGCCAAAAGTAAGAGCACATATACAAGAAACATATATATATATATATATTGACACTAGCAACTAGACTCGGAGCATAGAATGCACACATGACACATGCACAAATTACAAACTAAGGAAAAAGTAAACTTGCTTAAACTAAAAACTAAGTCCCAAAGATCCATCCCACTACTTTAGTCTTAGATCTTTAGGTGTTCCAATATGATCATTTATTAGGTAGAAGGAAAAAAAATTTAGAACCCTTAATTTTGTCTTCCATTATTGGTTCATCTAAAGAAATCAAACAAGTCCAGCTTAGTCCAGGTGCATGTTGGATGGATGCTGAAGACTTTTGGCTCTGTTTGGTAGTAAAGATCATGTTAAGATCACTAACTTATTACATATACATGCACCACAACTAATTCACAGAAAGTAATACTCCCTCCGTCTCCCTGTATTTGTCCACTTCCATTTTTGCACACCATCCAATGCACTTCTTTAATTCATTTTATCTTTTAATTTGTATATTAAAAAATTATATATTAATAATCTATATGTTAAGATAAATCAAACAAGATCACACATGACTATATTTAGGCTTACACATTGAGAGAATTTGATGAGTCAAAGTGCTTAGATGAACAGTTTCAAAAGTCAAATGTGGACAAATATAGGGGGACGGAGGGAGTATATTAACTATGTATGCTACAAAAATTTTCATATTAAGTTACCTCATGATCTTCATTGTGACAAGCAACATAGTGAGACCTCACCCCACCAAAGCATGAGTGGATCACAAACTCTGTCTGTCTGTGTGGACCTTTAAAGGGTAAAAATGATGTGTATAATGCGCATTCTAACCAATTATGTTACCAAGTACTAGATGTTTTTCCAATCAAAAAATTCATCATAGTCATTAATTTCAACCAACCATCAACTCTTGGCATGCTCAAATTTCATTCTCAAATTGCTTTGGGAATGCATGCTTTTTTAATTTTGCAAGTCTATCAAAGCATGAATCTACAACATAACTAGTACTCCCTCCGTCCGGAAATATTCTTCCCATTTGACTTTTCTTGGTCAAAGTTTGTAAACTTTGACTATGATATTTGGAAAGAATACATTATATTACGATATAACTTTAATATGAATATATTCATTTTGAAATATAGTTTTCAAATATCAAATTTTTATAAAATATATTCATGTATAAATAAAGATATTAGTGGTCAAAGTGTAATCTTGGAGATCGCAAAAAGTCAAATGGGAAGAACATTTCCAGACGGAGGGAGTATTATTCACGTGCTTCGCACAGGCTCACATGTATTCTAAACTCTAAAGTTTGACATCTAGAAATTAAATATCATTTATTTTAAATTCTTTAATAAAGATATATGATGTGTTTGATAAATAATTTCTAACTGTTTTAAAGTTTTATACAAATGTAATGGTCATCAAATAAAAAATAATGAAAATCGTTTTCATTAATAAAAATTAAAATAAAAATGTCAAATAAATCAATTAAGTAATCTACTATATATATATATATATATATATATATATATATATAAAAGTTGAATAAAAAAATCATTCCAATTTGAACAAGGTTAATTTCAATCCAATTTCACCTATTCAATAATGTACTACGTAGTACTTGGTAAATATGCAAAAACACATAGGCCCCAAATCTGATACATATTCATAGTCACGTCCGCCACAAGCTTCATGCGAACATTTCTCTATGTACAAACTTATTATTTTCAAGTCGCAATTTGAAGTAGAAGTGAAAACGTGTGGCTGTGCGGCTTGATGGGCAATTGGGGTGGCTCGAATCTTTTATGGGTATATAAGAGATTTTACACATAAAAATTTGTTAAATAAAGTAAAAGAAAAAAATTTATGGATAGATAAAAAATAAGGATAAAGCTATTTGTATCCCAAGGGTTTCTACCCCATTTGTACACGGCAGGTGTACACCAACATTTTGTGTTGCTGTAATACTAATTTTTGCTAACGCACCAATACTTTGTGTCAGTGTAAATTTTTGTTAACACACCAATGCTTTGTGGCAGTGTGAACCATCAAAATGTTGGTGTATACTTTTGATGTAACTTTGGGGTACAAATTTTGGTGTAAGTGTAGCCTGCATTCATATAACTTTTGTTGAAAATAATATAATTACAAAAAGAGTAATATTGAGAGTTGATACGACAATCGAAATATCAAAATCTACACAACATGACATTAGTGCTCATAGTGCATTCCAATTGGATTTGAACGTTAATTTGTTTACACATTTACATATGATGAAGTGTTTAAATTTAGTCAAATATTTAGAAATACCAAAATAAAGAATAATTAAATTGAAGTTGACCTTCCAATTTTGCCATCAATGTAATGATAAAAGTAAGATATGATAGATATATTATTAATGAAAAAATAGGATGTAATTGATAAGGTAAAAAGGTAGAGTTAAAAATGAGTTTTTAATAAAAAGTGGACCAGAAGTCTTTTGCTGATTGTAAAAAATGAAATATGAAGTATTTTGTTGAAAGGATAAAATATAAGTTAACAATATTAAATGAATACATTTCACAGTGTTATGTTCATTTATCATTTTTGTAGCATTTAATTTTACAAATAAACAAAGCAATGTTATCATATTGGTTACTCTAATTATAGATATATTATATTCCCGTGCATGGCACGTGTGATGCACTAGTGTCACATTATTAGAGAATGCATATCTATCATGTGCCCCATGTAATCCTTCAATTAAACTTTCACTTTGTTCAATTTACTAAAAAATATGTAATAAAATAAATAATGTAATAAAACAAAAGATTAAAATATGCTATAAAGTTAATAAAGATGCATGTGTGATAAAATTTATATATAATAGTTTCTTTTGAAATGATGGATAATTTTAAAAATTATAAAAAAACATTGTTTTTTTAATTAATAAATTTTATATAACTTTTTTAATATTATAAAATAGTCGTGCATATTTAAAAAATATGTTAAAACAACCAAAAATATTTCTAAAATAGTTAGAAAGTGAAAATTTTATAAAAAAGTACAAACATAAGTTGTTTTTATTGTTGGAAAGTGAAAGGTTTATAAAATATAATAAAAATAATTATTTAATACAAAATTAAATAGGCATGTATGTAATGACATATATCTTGTGATTTACATGTGGCATGTCAGTAGTATGCACGTGTGGCATAAGTGCATAACACATGTCATCACCACACTTTCTAATTTCATCTAGGATAGTTTCGAACTTTCTAATTTCATCTATCGAAAAAAGATCCTTTTTTGGCTCATTATTTTTATTTTCTTTACATCATTTTCAATCATACAATTTTATCTTTCTTAAAAATCATGTGGATTTGATAGAAGGATGCTTTGTTTGTGGATGCTCTATCATTCTAATAAGAGCCATTCATAGAAGAAGCATCACCACCTCCAATACTACTCCCTCTTGAATCCTCCATTTCTTTCCTTTTGACCGACCGGCTTTTCACGGACTCTTCTTTCTCGTCGACAAACGAAAGAAATGTCCGCATTCGCCCCGATCGCGAGCCACCAGTGCCACCACCTCCCCCACCACCAGAAGACTGATCAGAGTTAGAGTAATAATGCCTCTTGTACTGGCAGGCGAGGAGGGCGAAGTACACCATCAAAGCCAAGAAGCTTGCGGTCCCACATATGGAGAAGAGGCCCGAGAAGCTCTTGAGCTCGAGACGATCAACTTCAAGCTTCGTGTTCTCCGACGTACATGCGCTTCTCATCAGCCATTTGTCATGGATCTTCTGAAGCTCTCCGCTTTCGGATAGTTTTAGTATTGCTGTTGATAAGTCCGCTGCTAGGGGAGAGTCCCTTCGAAAGGCCTTCAAAACCAAAGATTTAGTCATTAGAGACATTTTTAGAGAGGACTTGTTTGGGTGTTTTTGCGTCATTTATCCCTGAACTCTTCAAAAATTGTGTACATTCTTCTGATGAACTTTAAAAATTGTACCAATGGCCGCCCTTGAATTTTTTAAAACGTTGCAATAATGGTCCTTATGTGTCAGATTTGACGGTTTGTTATATATATATATATATATATGTATGTGTGTGTGTATATATATATACATATATATATATATATATATATATATATATATATATATATATATATATATATATATATCACACATGAGTCGATGAGCCAAGCAAGTTTTTCATCAGATCAACTTCTTCATCAAGCTCCAACAAGTACATTGATGAGCGTGTGATTAACGTACTACCAAATTTGGTACAAAGGGACCATTTATGCAATATTTTTAAAAGTTTAAGGACTATTAGTACAATTTTTAAAGTTAAGGGGGAATCAACGCAATTTTTGAAGAGTTCTAGAGTAAATGGCGTAAAAAACTCGATTTGTTTGAATGCACACCTTACCGTACTTAGTAATAGAGTGTTTTTATGATACCCTCAACTCAAACACATAAACACAGACAAAGTAAAGGTTATAGAGCAAAACTTACAAATCCCCATCCATTCTTCTGAAACTCTTGGCCAACAATACTGAACTCACAATGTGTTGATAGAAAAACTTCCATATAGGCACGTTCATCAACCACAGCCATAACCCCTCCATTTCTAGGACCCTTCCTTAGAGCGTCCACGAAGTCTTCAGGCAAGTTAAGAGGAACAAGCCTAGATGCACGAATGCCGAGTTCTTGGATCAGATAGTTGTGCGTAAATGACCCTAGTTGATAACCAATGGGGTCGTTCGAAGCCAACAAGCTCTCGATCCCTTTGACCGGGGAAGAAAGTTGTTGGACAGTGAGGTTTGAGGTCAAGCTTGCAGTGTAGCTTGAGTTTATGATCAAGACCACGAAGAGCCATACGATCAGGACTATGCGCCCCAGAGTGCTAACAGTACTTTCCTCTGAGGGGTAAAATGGGAATAGAAGAAATATATCATTAGAAAAGTTCTCTGGTTGGTTTAAGCCCATAAGGACAAGAACATGTTTGTGTGGATAAGTTCACTTACTATGTGCAAAGAAGAGAGTCGAAAAGCTGAACCTGAAATGGAAACATGAGAAGGGTTGGTCACTTTTGAACACATTACTCAAAGAGTGAATGTTTTTTTAGTTTTTCTCTAACAAAACCTCTCTATTTCCTAGTAGGGATAAGTTCTACGTACGCAAACCCTCCACAGATCCAGGGATAAGTAGGATCTGTATATGGTGCGTGCAGCGTGTACACGGATCTTACCCCTACTAGAGAATAGAAAGACTCTTTCCATCACTAGCGCGTGAGCTTTATATTCAAAAATGGTGTTAGGGGATTCTAAATGCTACCTACTACCAAGTCAAATATATATCTTATATTAATTAGATAAAATAATATTTTGAATATATTTTAAAAAATAAATCTAATAAAATTATTTACGTATCAATATCTAATACTACCTCCGTCCCTGAGTACTTGTCCAGTTTTGACTTTTTTTGGTCGTTTTCAACTTTTGACTTATAATTAAATAAAATATATATTGTATATTAATTAGATAAAATAATATTTTGAAATTATTTGATATAAAAAATCTAATAAAACTATTTTTGTATCAATATCTAATATCATTTTTATTTAATTGGAAGTCAAAGTTTACCAATTTTGACCGAAAAAAGTCAAAAGTGGACAAATACTCAGGGATGGAAGGAGTATCACTTTTATTTAATTTGTGGTCAAAGTTTGTCATCTTTGATCGGAAAAAGTCAAAAGTAAACAACTACGGAGGGAGTATTAGGGAAACACCTCCTTAGCATATACAAAGTATAAAATGTACTATAATTATGAGCATACCAAAGAATGGTGATGAATTGCTTTCTAGGAGGTCCGCGAAAATCCGTGTTCATTCGATGTTCCAAAATCCAAACAACTGCCCCGACGACGAGGAAAAAGATTCCAGTAATAGCCCACATTGGAGGGGTAAATGGTCTAAGAAATGCCCAAGCACTAGAACTCAGTTCTTTCACGGGCACCACCACAACTAGCCCGGACTCAATGTAAGGTTGGGTGAAGTCAGCCATCTTCGTCCGGTTTGTTGTGATTGCAATGTCGCCTACAACTGCATCATATACCTGAAACCATACAATCCCGGTTTTTCTTGTGCAAAGGGTGGGGGTTGGCATTGGGTTTGGCCCGAGCCCCATAGTGGAATCCGAAGTTGTTTGGTTCAGGCTTTGTTAGGTTTTGATCCATCGAACACATAATGTTTAAAGAGTGGGGTTCTTTTGTCACCAAAGGCAGTGTCATAATATGACACGGGGTCATTTGAAGGCCTTACAATGAGTGTTCTGTTCGACGAAGAAGGGTTTCATACCCCCTACAAGTCCTTGCATCCCTAGGCTTGGTTGGGGGGCTTGTAGGGGGGATTAGGGGGTAGAAACCACTTTAGAGTCGAACAGAACACTATAGGACCCACAAATGGCATGGGTGTCATATGATGTGATTATGACACCTGCGGGTGGTGTTAAAAGAACCCCACTCATTAACTCAATTATACTAGGGGTAAAAAAACCTTGGGTTTCGCCCGGAGTGTTTGTAGCAGCAATGTGAGCTGTGATGTGTATAATAAAGAACCTTAGAGCCCCAAAAAAAAACTCACCCCTTCAGTGATTACGTGCACTATATCTGTATCGTCCGGGTTTTTAAGGCCATCCCCAAAGGACAAAAACTTGTAAGGCACAGAATAGGGCAGCAAGTACACAGCACTAGTGAAGACCTCAATGCAGTAGCCTCTGAACATATCATCACCATCATCACCTGCCACCTGCCCTACAAATTCTTGGAAACTAACTCTTTTAGGGACACCTACCCTCAGCTGCCTCCCGTTGTTAGGGAACACCCAGCCTCGGGGCGTATCGGTCTCTTGTCCTGGCCAAATCATCCTGTGGAGCCGTTGATTCGAAGACGAGATGTTTGGAGGTTTTGAGTACAGAGATTCTGGTGGCACAACTGAGAGCCCGGAGTAATTTGACCAATAACCAACTCTCCTAAATCCAGTCCCAACCATATTTATGACCTCAAATGCTGGCCTGTATAGGTCCCTATCTGATGTGAACCTGAAATAGCCAATATGGTTAGCAAATGAATTGATAAATTTGACCTTCATATTTAAGGGTCTGATTGTCTTTGGGTAGGGTTCTCTTGGAAAAAATTGTCCTCCCAAGCCTCTGCTTTTTATGGATTTTATTGGGTTTGTTGTTGAAAAGTGAAGTGTGGCTTAAATTTATTTGGAAGAGAGATAAACAAAGTGTCCACACAATTATTTCTTAAATGAGAGTGGAAAAGTGTAAAGTTGAGTTTAAGACATCTAAAAATGGAAAGTGTTAAAATTGATTTGTGGCCCTATGATATTCTAAGTGAGTGTTTCTACGGGCTTATAAGCTGGTCAAAGCTGCTTATAAGTAGTTTTTAACTTATTAGTCAGCTTATGACATATTTCCCAGTGCTTATAAGCTAGAAAAAAATAAGTAGATCTTACCTACTTATTTTTAAATTAGTTTTTTCGTTTCTCTGTTTTGATTAGAATATTTACAAAATTATCCATCACCGTATGAACATTCCCAAATGACTTATCTATCATTTAAGTTATTTTACTTCCACGAAAGAATATTTGGTTTATAAGCAGCGTATAAGTTAAAAGTTGCTTATCGGCAATGAGTCAATAAGCACCAACACAAAGAAACACCCTATAAATATCTAACTAGGACTAAAACATGTTCCATATGCCAAAATAGGACTTCTAATATCTTTATACCAAAATAATACTTGTAATGTCAAATAATGCCAACACATAATTCCAAAAAAACACCATAAAATGCCAAGATGTGACATTCATAAAAAAACATAAAGAGGTCTCATTTTGACACAAGTTTCATGTTTTATTTTTATTTAGGTAGATTTTTTCAGTACCTGAATGGCCCTGTCACGCCGGTCATCTCCGTCTTGAAAATCATCTCCCGCAATAAATTCCCGCCATCAAAGACGCTCATGGAATCGAGACGCAAACGCCCTCCGTTCCCTTTCAGTCTTGGATCTTTGGAAAACGAAATGTTTCCGCCCTGCTTGAAGAAAGCCGCAAGCGCACGGGCAAGCAACCAAACGCTGTCATATGCATATAAACCATATGTGCACAATCCCAAGTGTTGGTTACCTCTCATTCCCAACTTTCTGGTCATATTGCTCCACCTGTGAATAAATCCATGAATTAATTCTAACATTAATTTGCAAAAAAAAATAAAGACTTACAAGGACAATGAATAAATGACAGATATATGTACTTTATCATTTCTCAAGAATCCTAAACCTTATGTCCTCTACCAAAAAAATTGATGATGATGACGACACTACCTTTGTCTCAGTTGAGTCACTTCTTGTTTTATAGGACTTTTGATGTAATTTTTAAATATATAAATTTTATTTTATTTTTTTCTAATTCTACACTTGTTCAAATAAATTGAATTAAATATAATTTCAATCAAACATAGTAAACGGTAACATGAGCTTGTTTTGGGATAAGAGGGGGTAAAACAAAAATGATTTCATGTGATTTATCTTGCAATGCACTTTCAACAAGTTTAATAATTCATAGTATGAATAATTGAATATGCCATAAATTTTTTATTTAATTGGACAATGAGATAATAATAATAATAATAACAACAACAAAAAAACTAACGCCAATAATCCCAAGTTTGCTCCATTTTAAAGATGGTAATTCTTCATTTCTTATCAATAATCCCAAGTTTTCTTCATGTTCATAAACCTGGAGATGAAGCGCCTCTTTAAACTAGAGTCTGGAGTATGGATACGCAAAGTAACGACTCCTTGGATGTCTTCCATTGTATCGGGAGAAAACGGGCCCACGGTGTCGAAGACGGTGGAGAGCCAATGTGTGGTGATCCACACATACCCACTCTCCATCATCTTCAAGCTCTTTGCAACCGAAAATATGTTCAAGCTACTCTGGTCTGGGTAAGTGTGGACGACCAAAACCCGGGACTCCATTAAAGCCACCTGAATCAACGCGTCCCTTATATCATCAACGGTTGCTTCTGGCTTCAATGCTGCTTTGTATGATATCTGGCATCTTCTCATGGCCAGTTGATCTCCTATAATATTGAAATGTTGAAAAAAGAAGATTTGTAAAGGGATTAAGGCCTTGTTCGGGAACAGCGTTTTGGATAAAATTTTAATTCTGTAGATTAATTCTAAAAATGCTAACGCTAAAGGCTACGGTTAGATAGCCTTTTTAAAATGTTAATGTTGATGCCAAATGGGGCCTAAGACTACTCAATAAAGGTAAAAGCTTTTGGACCTAAAAGTAGCTATTACCCTCTAACCTGCCCAGGTTCAAATTGACACTGGACTTGGGTGTCATAATATGACAACAAATTTTTTTGGACATCCTACACTGCTCCGTTTGACCCTGACGTGGTCCCTACTCCCCCCACCCCCTTCCCCCGACACAAGACCCATCACCCCACCCAAGGCCCCACCCTCAGTTTGAGTTTTGACAATGGATTGCCACCGGAATTGGGGGTGGGGTTGGGGCTAGAGCCGGGCCGTGAGTGGGTAGAAACGGAACATCATGTCATAATATGACAGTGTCAACGGAACCTTCCGGATTAATTAAAGAACTTATAACGGGGGTGGATTACCAAATTTACCATTACCTAATGCAGCAATGCCATTCCTCCCATAATCATCATCTATGTAGATGGCAACCACTTTTCTCCACTCATAGTGCTCCACCATTGATGCCACAGCAGCCATCTGAAACAGATCATTTGGACAAGTCCTAACAAAGAATGGGAACTGAAGTGAAGTGAGGGTGGGATCAGCTGCAGCAGATGACAGCAGAGGGACTTGGACCTCATTTGCAATGTGTGAGATCACATGAGCTATGACCGACGACTGGGGCCCGATTATCGCCACCGTGTTCGTCTCCATGAACCTTATTGCTGTTAACCATAGTGAACAAAAAAGACTAATATATAAGAATATGTGTCATTACGGAATAGAGTAATCTAAGCAAACAGAAAACGTAAAGACACAGATCTAACGTGGTTCACCAACGTTGTGTTGGCTACGTCCATAGGCAAGAACGGAGGCGGATTGTATTATGCCCCAACGGTTCCAGAGTGCAGAGTTTTTGTGCCCTGACGACACGAGCACAAAAATAGGCACACAATACATATTCAAGGCATATTTTTGTTCCTGGCGGATTGTATTATGACAGCGGTTCCAGACCTCTATATAAATAGGCACACAATACAGATTCAAGGCATATTAACAATATGAGTTGTTCATCACATTGTCAATTGATTTTGGGTTGGAATCTTATAATTCTACAAAATTGAGTTGAGGGTTGTTTGGTAGCCACTTTTATTCAGGTTACCAGACCCACATGTTTTACAAAATAAAGTGCCCAAAACCAAACAAACACTATCCAGAGTAGAGTCTAGAGGACAAGATGTATGCATACCTAAATTACCCTTACTCCAAAGAGTAGAGTGATTGTTTGTCAGAGGACCCAACATGCTAAAATGGACCAAGTATGAAAAAAAATTGGGGTTTTTTTTTTTGTAAAAACTAAAATTTGGTTTTTATACCCAAGAAAAGTGATTGAAATCAGATGGGAAAACATCAAATGTAAATAAACTATTCTTGAGCTACCAGAAATTTAATATTTATATCATAATACTCCAAGATTGCATATTGACCACAAATACCCTTCAAAATATTTTCAAATTTCTTTTTTTCCTCTTAAACATGTAAATTGTATGAGAAGTTAATTTCGGGACGGGGTGAGAGATAGAGAAATACCTTCAACAATCCCAAGAAATCCACTGGCAGTGCTATCAAGCGTGGTGATATTCAGCTTTCTTCCCCCAAGAACTGTTTGTTTGGAACTATTTACCTCTTCCACTGCAGTTTCCACAGCCAGTTTTGTCACTCTCCCAACTGGGGAGGTCAAAATCAACATACACCCAACATTCACAACCTCAGGTTTTACCCCTCCACAGATTATTACCCCACTGTAAAAACCCAAGAACACCACTGCCCAGTACATTTTCTGGGTGAATTTACTGAGTTCCATCCCCGGGTTTTCACCCTGCACATACAAAACTTACCTCAAGAACAAAAACTTCAGAACCATACACATTAAATTTAAATTTCAAAAAAGAAACCCAAGATTTCGGATTTTCTTTCTGTAGTTGTAGCCAAACAACCCTTAAGGACCCCAGTTATTTATTCACAAAAATATCTCATTCTTGAAGAAAAAAATGGCAGAAAATTATGAGTTTTACAGGAGTGAGAAGTTAAGCTAAGAACAAATGCTTTTAACAGAAACTTAGAGAGGTGTATTTGGCTTCAAAAAGGGTTAAAACTAAAAAATGTGAGAAATGGAATATTATACCATACAAAAGCAAGACAAGAAACAAATGGAATATATTTCAGATTATCGGCAAAAATTAAAGCACTAACAGCAACTCCAATTCATCTTTTATAATCTAAAAAATAAAAGTTTTAAACTTTACTGTAGATAAAGTATAGCTCCAACGGGTCATTCAAATTTTAGAGCATTAGTTATTATTTAACTTTACATACTCTATATATAGATGATCATTATCCATATGCTATAGATAAAATACTCCGTATTAATAAATTTTTCTACTTCTCAAGCTGTATTTGAACATAACTCAAAGTTGCTTTTGATATAAAAAATTTAGTAGAAAAATATTAATGTAAAATAATTCTTAAATATTATATAAATTTAAAAATAAATGATATGGTTGGAGAGGTCATGGAAAAGTAGAATGCTAAATTACTATTGAGAAGCTAAAAATAACATTTAGCTTCCCAATTTTTAGCATATCCATTGGAGATGCTCTAACCTGAAAGATCCTAATAGAAAAACAGACATGTACACTGTAGGGTCTATGTCGTCTTAATATATTTATAAAAAAAGTGGGACTCCCACCAGGTGCCTCCACGCGATAGGATTGTGAGAGAATAAATCATGGTATAATCTCAATCTGGTTCTTACACTTAGATTTGATCCTATAATCTCACTCTTAATATATTAATAAGAAATATGTTATTTTGACCACAAGATTTGAATCTCATTTTAAACCCCACCCTCTTACTAGACATTCACAGACACCTGACACAATTCTATGTCTGCGAGCGTCCGTAAAAGATGTGATTAAATGCTCCTAAAAGTGGAGTATAAAGTTTGACAATGTGGAAATTTCGCCTAATGTGATACCTGCTTGTATGCACCAAGCACAGTTAGGCCCTTCGAAAGACCGATATTAGATTATATCGTAAATTACCTCTCACTATTCTTTTGGGTTGAAAAGTAGGGGAGCCCACAAAATCATTGCCTATTTTGACATTAGATTTCAATATCATACCCCTCTTTTTGGTGACAATCTATTGTCAAATTATTGATAGTAGATTGTTAGTCTATCATTTCTGATGGAGTCAATGATTGACATATTCACTATTTTTGGCTTCGCGTTATGATAGAATAAAACAAAATGACTCTTTAAACTGTTCATGTTTTTCTTAATAGTGAGGTGATAGTTAGTCAATGCAACTTTCGACACTCATCATGGATCATCCGGAAATAACCGCTCTATGTTTTAAACATAGAAGACAAACTACATGCATCCGACCTCCTACCCCGCAATGGAGGGGGAGCTGCTCGTGTTTTAGTCTTAGTCAGATATTTCTGCTTAAATTCATCTCTTAAAGCAGGGCTAGTCTTATTTTGAGTGAGACTAAGATGGGTCACATGCTTAGAAATTTAGACATACTTTATAAAAATAAGACACTCATCTTCAATTGAAATTCTCATTTTTTTACTTTAGTGCCAATTATTTGAATACATATATAAAAGACAGAATGATCAAATTAGATGGGTCTCATTTTTTCATTTTCATGTAAACAAGTTTCATTTACATGCCAAAAACGGTAGAAATGAGTTGGGACTTACATTTCATTTTCTTTAAAAGAAGTTAAACAGAGGAGTGATTAAAGATGTGACATATGCTCTATTTATATCATAAATTACATTATGATGTATCAAAATATCTCCATTAACAAGTTTTATGGATGAAAAAATTAAGATATTCAAAAGGTTTTTTAGGGATTTTTTTTGAAGTGCCCGGCCAAACTGGACACTAAAATAGGTAGTGGAAGTAATAATGTTATGGTAGTAATGGTACACGTATCAGTTCTTCACTTTCCGTACGAGCATAATGCAATTGGCTTTCATTTCATGAACAAAGAAACACCTTCATTCCCATGAAAATGGGAACCAATGTCACGGGATGATCCGGAGTGCTTTGGTGTCCCGTTCGTAAAATTGACGGTTCCTATCCCCTTAATCCCCCGATAAAATCCCCCATCCCGCCCCGACCCAAACACGCCCCCCACCCCTTTCAATAGATTTTAAAAATCTGTAGGTATTCAATTCAGATTTTAAAAAATCATTTAAAATCCGAATGTATTCAATTGAGATTTTAAAAAGTTTTCTAAATATGATAGTGTTCAAAAAGTTGATAGCTTTTTAAAGATTTTTAAAATTGTAGATTTTGATGGATTTTTAAGCATTGGGTATAAATATATATCCATTCCGTGAGCCTTATTATGAAAACGACTTCTCTTTCCTCTGAGCATTTTTTGCTTGAAGATTTTCACTATTTTTTTTATTATATTTATTTGATTTTAGATCTGGTTTCTAAGAATTTTTGGGGTTATGGGAAGGAAAATAGCGTCTATTACCAATTCTGGAGGAGACTAAAGATTCCTCACAGGTATAATGGCTTAGGCGCTAAAGGGATAATGGAGAGTGGCATATCATGATCAATAGACTATTTCCGGTGCTGTTGTGCATCCTGGAAACACCACTTACATTGCTAATCCTACATTATTAATTATTTCCATCATTGTTTGAAGGATAAATTTATGTTTTGTTTGAGATATTGGAGAAGAAAAGAAATTCAAAATCTTGGGTTTGCTTGGTTATCATAATTTGTAATTGGTTAGAGGGAAAATTGGCCGATGAAGCAAAAGAACTTCATTTATCGGACAATCATTGTTTTCAGAATGGTGGAGGTGATGATGAAGATGAATGTGTAACTTTAATTAGAACCTTGGATTATATTTTCTAAATTTGAATGGAATGAATGGCGATGGGTGTATTTCACCCACGACCGGTCAGGACCGGATAGTTGACCGGTCAGAAAGGTCAAACTTTGAAGAGAGATCTGAATCGTCAGCAAATGGACCACCGATTGACCAAGAAGTTGACCGGTATACTTAGGATAATATACCGGTCAGATTATTCCATCAGCAGGAACCAATTCCGAAGACAATTAATCCAAACCTTCAGAAATCAACCGATGCAACTTTTAGAGATTGGGGAGTGTCGGCAGGAGGAGTCCAAAAGGACTTGGACTGTAGTGGTTGGAATTGCAGAGATGCTGGAGGAATATTTTCAAGCCAGAACGTGACAAGGAGGGTAATCCCCCTCGCAAGATGACAAGGTGGCTCGGGCACAGTCATAACACCACATCAGCAGCATGCCCCCACGTGGGTGCACGTGGTCCTGTCCCCTCAGCTTGGTATAAATACTCATGTAAACCTCAGAAAGAGGGATCCGAATTCATTCTCTCTAAACTCCCTTGTAAAAGCACCCGTGCATTCTCCGTTATAATATAAATTGGGCTACAGGTGTTCCACCTAAAGTCCTAAATGTCAATCTGCGTGTTTTTACCTTTCTTACTTTGCCAAATCAAGCAAACTATTCTAGACCCGGTCTAGTATAGTTTGACCGGTCAAATAATTTACACCATCAAATGGTATGTTAAATTTATAAAATAATTCATATTTATATCTAAATAATCTATATATTATACTCCCTCCGTCCAAGAATAAACTTCCTACTCTACCTTTTTTTTCGTCCGAAAAAAAATCTTCCTACTCTACGTTTTTATACCTACTCTTCCAAAATTACCCTTCTTCTCCTTCAACATTTCTCCCCCCCCATTTCACCATCCCCGCGGCAAATCCGGCCTTATCTTCATCACTCCCACTCTCTCTCCCAGTCTCCCCCCCTCTCTCTTCCCCCCTTCTTTTTCTTGTTTTTTCTCTTTCCTTTCTCGGCCTTATCTTCTTCTTTCTCTTCCCGCTCCCCCTTCTTCTTCTCTTTCTCCTTCTTCTTCTTCTCCTCCTCCTCCTTCTTCTAGATCTGTGTTAGATCTAGATCTGTGGACGTTGGGGGAGGATAGTGGTGAGCGGTGGAGTAGTGTTGAGGCTGAGGCTGATGGGCGGTGAAGTAGTCTAGCCTCTCCCTTCTCCGATTCTGCAACACGACGATAGAACGAGGAGATGGACCTTTCTGGCGGAGAATTTCAGCTGTGTCTCAAGCCCTTTCCGAAAAGTCCAGCGACCTCCTCCCGGCGCGGCTCTCTTCTCCGGAATTCGGTCGGGCACAGCGACGCAGATCCCTGATTTCCCCTCCCATTCGGGTTGCAGCGGCGAACCAGCAATTCCGGCGAACCTTCTCTGCTTGGAGATTTGTTCCGTATCAGATGGCAGGGCTGGTAAAAGGAGAGGGAGAGGGAGGGCAATTCAGACAAATTACACTCATATTCAACACCAGGAAGCTTATTCCCAGATGAAGGGAGTAAACCATTAGACAGAATCTTATAAAATATATTAAAATCTATCAAAATCTGCATGGACTTAAAAGAATTCATAAATTTTATATAATCTAAAGATTTTAAACAATTTATTGAAATCTTTCATAATGCTGATTGAATACACCCTTAAATCAAAATATAAATTTTATTGTGCATGGCAAAGAAAAAAGGGAGATGCTAGGGATACACCTACCTCATTTGTACACCACTCTCTTCTCCACCACACATTTTTATTTTATTTTTATTTACTTATCTTTTTAAATTTTTTTTTTGTCTTTTTATTGGACAAGGAGGGGGTGTGGAACATATGGGTACACCAAGGTGTACCCTAGCATTTTTCAAGAAAAAAATAACCCTTTTTGTTTCTTTTTGGTTATCCAATTCATTCAATCTAAGATTACAAATACACAAGAAAGAAGAGACGAAGCAACACTCTCTTCATCTACAATCATAAATGAGACAAAGAATCCATCAAAGGTTCATTTCCAGCGGATCAGCCCCAGTTGTTGTAACCAGTCCAGTCCCCACTCAAGAAAACATAACCCGTCTGATTCTTGATCAGAAATCTGCTTCCGAAGCTCTCCAAACCTTCAGATGGGCATCCAGTCTTCCCCATTTCACCCACTCCCAGTCCACATTCAGAGCTCTGGTTCACAAGCTCTGCGCTTTCCGGCGTTTCGAAACCGTCTACCAACTGCTCGACGAAATGCGCAGCTCAAGCTGCGTGTCCCCTGACGAAGGCGTTTTTGTCACTGTCGTCCGTGGCCTGGGCCGGGCTAGAATGATCAGGGAAGTGATCAGAGTTCCAGATTTGGCCTCCAGGTTCGGTCTGGCCCCGAGTCTGAAGCTCATGAATTCGATTCTTGATGTTTTGGTCAAGGAGGACATTGATATTGCCAGGGAGTTTTACAGGAAGAAGATGATGGGATGCCATGGCGTTGTTCGAGGAGATGATTACACTCATGCGATTCTAATGAAAGGGCTCTGCGCCACCAACAGAATCCGGGACGGATTCAAGCTTCTGCAGGTGTTGAAGACCCGGGGCGCGAAACCAAACATTGTTATATACAATACACTCTTGAGTGCCCTTTGCAAGAATGGGAAGGTTGGGAGGGCAAGGAGTTTGATGAGGGAAGTATCTGAACCCAATGACGTGACTTTCAATATCTTGATTTCTGCTTACTGTAAAGATGATAATCTAGTGCAGGCATTGGTTATGCTGGAGAAGAGCTTCAGCAAAGGGTTTGTTCCTGATGTTATAACAGTGACCAAGATATTGGAAATCCTATGTAACAAAGGGCGTGTCTCTGAGGCCGTTGAGGTCCTACAAAGAGTAGAGGAGAGCAGAGGGACGATTGATGCAGTGGCTTATAATACACTGATAAAAGGCTATTGCAGGTTAGGGAAGGTCAAATTTGGGCGTCGGCTATTGACTGAGATGGAGAGGAAAGGGCACTTGCCAAATAGAGACACGTATAACTCTTTGATATCTGGTTTATGTGAGTGTTCTATGTTGGACATGGCTCTTGACATGTTTAATGAAATGAAAATGGTTGGGTTGAAGTGGAATTTTGCCACTTATGATGCTCTAATCCACGGGCTTTGTTCCGTTGGGAGGACTCAAGAAGGGCTCAAGATCTTAGCTTTAATGGAGGAGAGTAAAGGGGAGATTCACATAAGGCCTTATAATGGGATCATATATGGCCTTTACAAGGAAAACCGTTTGGACGAAGCGTTTGGATTCTTGAAGAATATTGATAATATATTTCCACGGTGTGTAGATAGGAGCCTTAGAATTCTCCAATCGTGCAAAGATGGAAGCATTGACGAAGCGAAAAAGTTTTATGTTCAGATGATAGAGGAAGGTGGCATTCCATCTGCATTGGTTTATGCAAATCTAATCCATACATTTTGTGAGAAAGAACGGTTAAGGGAAGCCATCGAGGTGATGGATGAGATGGCCGGGCACGGCTATCTTCCAGTGGCTTCCATGCTCAACGTGATGATCAAAGGGCTTTGCGAGAAGGGTAAAATTGGAAACGCCTTAAAGTTCATGGAGGATATGATGGGAAGAGGTTGCTTACCTGATGCAGAAAGCTATGGTTTGTTTCTTGAATCCTTTTGTAGTAAAGGGGAGTTCCACAAAGCTTTCATCATCTTTATGCAAATGGTGGAAAAGGGTATAATTCCAAACTTTTCTTCATGGAATACATTGGTGCAATGTCTGTGTCGAGAACACCAAAGTATGTGTTGTGTGGGTGACAAACTTTGTTTCATTATAGAAGCTTGATATCAAAATTTGAACATTTTAAGGAAAATGATTCATCCGACGTGTCATTTTACATGAATCTGGCAATAATCCCTTGGGGTTTGGGAGGTCAATATGTACTCCCTTGGGGTATGATGATCCGTAAAATTCATGGTTCCTACCCCTAATCCCTCCAGCCCAACCTGACCCGAACGCACTCCCCCAACCCCTTCAATTTCATCCCCGAAATTTAGTTAACTTTGTGGGTCAAATGTATATATATATACATGATGTATATCAATATTCTTTAAACTTTTGAGGCTTTGTTACTTGAAAGGTACCCCAACTTTGAAGTTTGTAATAAACAGCTACCTCATCTTGAATTTGTAACAAAAAGATCAGATTGGTTCCGTTGACACTAGGCAAGATCGTACCACTGGCTTTTTGGAAAACCTCTAGGGCTCTGTGAGCAAAATTGATTGCATTTACTCCTCTGGCCCCAACGGGTAAACCCCTCCACCTCGCCCAACCCGAATCCAGCCCCATCCCCATCAATTGGACTCTCCAAGTTTAGTTGATTTTTGGGTTAAAAAATTGACTCCAAAGTTGGGGGTCCAATTGACGAGGAAAGGGAGGTAAGTTTGGGTCTTGCCACGTGAGGGGTTACTTTGAGAGTATGAACTACTATTAATTTTACGAATGGAGCATCCGAGTGCCCAGTGGCCCTGTTGCCCACTAGCAACAGAACCTCTCTTCAAAACAAGGTACTATTAGCCATGTGTGCATCAATTGTCCCTACACTAGATTTAATCTTTTGTTTCACACAAGCTTAATTGTAGACAAATTTTAAGCATTTTATAAATTTATTTTTTATTTATACTTTATAATTTCTTTCTTCTAATGATCGTAGATTTTATATTTTAAATTTTTTATTTTATCCCCCTGAAAAGCTTTTATATTTGGAAAATGCTATATGAACCCCACTTTTGTACACCAGGGGTACACCATATAAAAGGCCAACCCCCCACCCCTTATCCCTCTCACCCACGTAGTCTCTCTCCCTCTCTCTTCCCGATTAGGCTTCTTCTTCGCCGGTCAAGAATTCTACTCCCCTTCGCCGCCTCACTCTGGTACCCAAAAGCTCCAGCCTTCATCGTCTTTCTCATCCTGGCATCTTCATCTTCCTTTTTCCCTTTGCGACGTCACCCTCCACTCCAAATCATCTTTGAGGACATTCACCTGCAACTTCACACTCCGGTAAATCAAATTTGTATGGTTTTTGATATAAATCGAATTTTATTTTGTTCATTGTTAGATATGATTTTGTTCATTGTTGGTGGAAATTTTGACTTTCCAATCCAATTTAGACAAAAATTAAATTTGATTTGTTTTCACAGATCTGATTTTATTGCTTCACTTTCCCAATTTCAGTTTTGTGTTGTAGCTTTAGGTAGCTATTTCATCTATGTATGTTGAATGGTTTGTGACAAGAGGTTTAGATTTTTTATCTACACTCTCACAGACATACTATGTTTGTAAAGAAAATATTACAGGCACGTAATGTCTATAACATATTTGACTGACACTAGTATGACCTAACAAATTTAGAATCCCTCCCAAAAGTTCACCAGTATCCCTCAAGAAGTATCCTTCAAGCTTACTCATCTCATTCTGAATTGGTGCAATAATTGGACATGCTCATTTGATTCTTATACCTTCTAAAACATGTTCCAAACAAAGTGACATTTCTTAATTGTTTGTTTGTTAAGTTTCAGAGTTAGACTTAATTATATTCCCTTGTGGTTGCTTTTGATGTAGAAGATTGGAAGTTGGAAGATTGGAGGTAGTTGTATTTGGATTTTTACTATGTTAAGAACCTCATTCGGATTTCATTGAGGTTACCCAGACATTATGTGTCTTTGGTAAACAAGTACAGATATTGAGTGTATGTGAATTACTTACTCATTGATGAACATTGTTGATGACATTTATTTTTTCTAATAGATTGAGAAAAGTGCACAGATTTCTTCGGACCATGGCATCTTCCTCTTCGACTTCCAACTACCGTGTGAAGAAGGAGACAAGGAGACAATATGAAGCAATTTCTCCCAACTTGAAGATGGCGAGGCCTGAAATAGATCTACGTTATGGTACGGTAAAGTGTGATTGTTTGCCTCAATCAAGAAATTGTGTAATTCGAGTTGTGACTGACCATGAGAAGCCAAACAAAGGTAGGCTTTTTTATACTTGTGATCACTGTGGGTTTTTTCTTTGGTGCCATCCACTGAAGGCTGAATTTCGAGGTGAGCCACTGCCAATTGATAGCTCTGTAATGGGTCGGTTTGTTCGAAACTA